ATATTAAATTTTTATAATTAATTTTAAAATAACTTTATTATTTTAAAAGTATTAAATTATTAATATAAGATTAATATATTTAATAATATTTAATATATATATTAATAGTTTTACTTTAAAGTTATATAAATCTTTTATATATTTTTATAAAAAGTAAGAGTTATAACTTTATTTAATTATAAAATTTAAAATTAAATTTATAAATATAAAGGTATATCTATTAAATTTAATAGTTTTTTAAAATATTAAAGTTTATATAATATAATAAAGTTAAATATAAATAATTTTAATAATTAATAACTATATTAAAAGTTAAATATTTTTATATAATATAATATATAAATATTTAAATAAATTATTTATAATAGTAATATTAATTATATTTATATTATAATTAATAAACTTAAAAGTTATATATAAATTAATAATATAAAATTTAAATTTTTATAATAATAATAAATATTAAAATATATATATTTAAATAAATTTTATAAAACTTTATTATAAAAGTTATTTTATAATAAATTATTTTATATTAAAAGTTATTTTTATAAAAGTTATTTTATAAAAATAAAAAATAGTTTATTTTATTAATATAAAAGTAATACTTTATATATATTAACTTACTTATAAATTTCTTTATTTATTAAAGTTTATAACTTTATAATTTATATATATAATATATTATAAATAATCTTACTTTATTATATTTATAACTATTTATTTTCTATTAACTTTTATTTATAAACTTTTATTATAAATTATAAATAAATATAAATTTAAATAAAAAAGTATTTTATTAATTAATTTTTCTTATTTTATTTAAAGTATAATATAAATTAAACTTTATATTAATTATTAAAAAATTAAAAGAGTTTATAAGTATTTATTTAAAATTAACTTTAAAACTATTAAATAATATATATAATATATTATTAAAAAGTATTATTATTTATTATTAAGTTATAAAAATTAAATATAATTAAGATTTTATATTAAAAGTTATAATAATAGAATATATTAAAGAAAGATAAATTATAATAATAAGATTTATTAATATACTTTATTTTATACTTTAATTTTATAAAAATATATATAATTAATTAATATTTTAAACTACTTTTAAAATAACTTTTATTATAATTTAATAATTTATTAATAATAATTAAAGTTTATATTAAGAAATATAAATATATTTTAATAATAATAAATAATTAAAATTAGTTTAAATAATAGTTTATAATAAAGTAAAATAATTTTAAAAGTAAAGTATAAAAGTTAAAGTATATTTAAAAGTATAATTTATAAAACTATTTTATAACTTTTAATAAAAATAAAAATATAATATTGTTATTAATTAATTTAATATTTATATTATTTTATATTATTATTATAAAAGTATTATAGTTTAATTAAAATTAAAAGAGTATTAAAGTATTATATAAAAGTTTTAATATTTTTTAATAAAGGGTATATATTTATAATTTTAATTTATAATATTATAAAATAACTATCTTTATAATCTTAAAATTTTCTTTTAATTAATAAATTAAAAGTTAAGTATATTTTATTAAATAAAATCTAATAGATTTTAATTTTATTACTATAAAATATAAAGATAAAATAGTATTTAAAAGGTAGTATATAAAGTAAAGAAATAAAATTTATAAATATAATTTTATTTAAAGTAGAATTAATAAATATATTATTAAATATTATAAGATTTATTATAATAATAATAAAATAAATATAAAAATAAAATTATTAATAATTTAAATAATAAAAGTAATAATAAAATATATTAATTCTTTAATTAATATTACTCTTAAAGATAAAAATATTTTTACCTTTATTACTATTATTACTATTTATTACTTTATTACTACTATTACTATTTATTACTTTATTACTTTTAACTATATTAAATAATTAAACTCTACTTTTAATATTATTAGAAACTTAAATATTAAAATTTAATATAATTTTAATTATTAACTAGTTTACTATTAATATATTAATAGTTATATTAAAGATTATAAATCTTTTATAAACTTAAAATAAAGTTAGTTTAAATTATTAGTTTAATAGTAAACTTTTAATAATTATAATTATAATTATAATTTTAAATATATAAACTCTCTTTATTATCTTATAGAAGTAAAGCTATTTAATTATAGTGTAAAAATAAATATTATATTAATTTATTTAAAATAATATCTTTAAATAATATTTACTTTCTAACCTTCCTTTTTAAAAATTATATTATTAATAATAAAGTTATAATAAACTTAATTAAAGTTTTAAAAGATTTTTATAATATTAATTTTAAGTTTAATATTTATATTATAAATAAAGTTATAACTATTATTTATAAAATAAAAGTAATTATAATATAAGTACTTTTTAACTTATTATAATAGATTTATCTTATTTTATTAAAGTATATTATAATAAAGTAATTTTATATTTAATTAATTTAAATAATAAGTATAAAAGTAAAAGTAATTATTAATTATAATATTATTATTATAATAATAAAAGATAAACTATTATTTAAAAACGTTACTATCTTTAAATAAATAGATTAATATATAAGTTATATATTTAATTTAATATTAACTTATACTAATATTACTTTAAGTAACGTTACTAACTTTAAAACCTAAGTTTAATATTTTTATATTCTTTACTTTTATAATAAGTGATTTATAAAAGAGTATTTTTAATAAAATAAGTTAGATTAAATAGGCTATTATATTATTATTATTTAATTTAAAAATAATAGAGAGTTAAATAAATATAAAAGTAAAATTAAATATAAAAATAAAAGTAAGTTTATAACCTTATAGTTAAAAATATTAAATAAAGTGTATTATAACTACCTTCGTTTATAGTTAATTATTAAAGAAATAGTAATTTAATATACTTAATTTAAACTAAGATTATATAGAATATTTAAAGAGTAAAGTAACGTTAAAAGTAATTTTAAACTAAGTTTATATTACTATAATATTTAAATATTAGAAATATAATTATAATATTAAAATTTATAATATATAATAAAAGAATTATAAGGTATTTTTATTATATATAACTTATTTTTAAATATTTTATAGAATAAAAGTAATTTATTAAAATATAGTTTAAAAACTTTTATTAAATAAAGGTTATATAAATTATTTATAAACTTAAACCTATCTATAAACTTTAATTTCTACTTACTTACTTTTAATAAAATAAGTAATAAAATATATAATAATTAAAATTTATAATATTTATACTTTATTATTTCTATTATTTTCTTTTATAAAATTTTATTTTTAATTAAATATATTCTTTTATTAAATTTAATATAAAAAGAATTAAATATTTTAAAATCTTTATTTTATAAAATTAATAATAAAATATTTAAAAATTCTTAAAGTTAAAGTTTAAGATTTTAATTTTTTAATTACAGATTTTTAAATTAATATATTTATTTAAGTAAATTATTTCTTTAAATAATAAAAGTATTAAAATTAAAAGAAAAATTTCTTTTATATAAAAATTATTATTAAAATTAAAATTTATTTATAAAAGATTAAAAATTAAAGTTTTAAAAAATTTATAATATTAAAATATTATAAAGAAATAAGTTATAATAACTTTAATTTTAAAAATACTTTTTTAAATATTATTCATATATAATAAATAAATTTAAAAATATTCTAATACTTTTATTTCTTTTAAAAAGAATTTATTTATATTAATATATTAATTTAAAAAAACTTTTAATTAAAAAAATTAAAATTTTAAACTTTAACTTTAAGAACTTTAAAATATTTTATTATTAATTTTTATAAAATAAAGATTTTAAAGATATTTAATTCTTTTTTATATTAAATTTAATAAAGAAAATATTTTTAATTAAAAAGTAGGATTTTATAAGAAAAAATAATAGAAATAATAGGGTGTAAGTGTTATAGAATTTTAGCTATTATATATTTATAGCACCCTCTACGCTAAGGGTGTAGGGGGGTAGGGAAGGCCTGCCCCCTGGGTACTTGTGAGGTAATATCAAAGGGACCGCAGGCTTGGATGTGACTTGGCAGAATTTCGTTGCATCTGGATCTAGAGCTTGATTGATGTTTTTGACTGCCCCTTATCGATTAGGCCTATATAATTTGTTATGTCTAACAACTATTATCTTAGATATCCAGTCCTGAAGGATAGACTCCATGAGCATGAGAGACTTGCGAGATTCCTGACTAGACTCACTGATAAAGCGCGTGCTGTGAAGTGTTGAGCCGGATGTGTGACTTGCTGGAACTCTAAAAGCGACCCCAACACCCCCACCCCCCCCCCCCCCCAAAAAAAAAGAATACTAGCTGTAGGTTGACTAATTACCTAGGTAGGTAGGTAGTCAGTGTAGCCAAGACTGAAATTTCCCGGCGAGAATTGATCAAGAGGTCCAGAGGACGCCGGCTTTTGTGACATGTGAGACGTTGCCGCTCTCTCTTCCCTTGCTGGAGAGGATGCAGTTTTATTCACGTTCAGTGCGGAATAATGCACAATGTTTGACATGCATGTGGCGTATATACTCTGTACCCGTACTGCAGATGCATGGCCGCCCCTGCCCCATCAGATGCGTAAGTCCTTAATAAGTATTTATTATTTTATTATACCGCCGGCTGACGGCCTCGTTCTGGTATTTTCCCGCCTGGCCGCCGGCATCGCATGCATGGCGGGCTGTGTTTCCCGTCCCTGCAGCAAAATCTGGTTGAAGGATTCAAGAGGTGGGTTAGATAGGAGGCCCCCAAGATAGGGCCATTTTGCCTTATACCCAGGTGGGTGACCAAGTGTACCTAGAGGGTCCCTTGGGTGTTGCCTAAGGTGGGTCGCCCCGGTTCGCCAGCCCGAACTCCCCTAGGCTCCAAGCCCCCCGGGGCACCGCCAGCATACCTGGATGCGGCTAACACGGCCAGCCTGGGCCCTGGCTCTTATCACCACCCATGGCCAAGCTTGCATCAAAATGAGATGCAAAAGAGGGAACAGCAAAACCCACGGGGTTCCCTCCTTGGGCCCTGTGGGCTTTGATCGTGACATGGTCCTGTTGTTGCTCCTCTTGACCTCTTGACCTCTGAGGCTTGCCAAGCCCTTACCGGGTCGGCCAACATCGTCATCATCATCGTCGACAACAAAGTCAACATCAATACCAAACATGACCCCTGTCCGCCCACGACCGACGCCTGAGCAAGAGCGTAGCCCTCAATCACACGCCCAGGACAGCCAGACTCTTGTGTCACAATCCTGGCTTCCTCTTGTGCTCGCCGTGTTATACGTCGCCCTGCTGGTGGTTCCCTGGGTCCTGACGTGCAAGATTGCAACCGAGCCAGCCTTTATCATCAGCTTGTCCTCTAAACATATCAGCTACTATGTTCAGAACGGGTGGGTAACTTCCATCGACGTGCTCAACTCGCTCGCCACTGTCCTTTCGCTGCCCATACTGAGCGCCCTGCTGGCTCGTGCAAGCGTTGTCTTCTCCCAGCGTCGTCGCCCAGCCCAGGCGCTCAGTCTCCGTCAGCTTTTCGCCCTCGCTGATCGAGGCTGGTACAACCTGTCCAAGGCTGTATCATCCGTCCACTCGTCGCCATTGTTGCGACTTGGATGCCTGTTGCTGTTCATCTCAATCCTCCTGCCGCTCATTCGATCCGGTCTGGTCTCCTACGACAACGTACCCATCTCATCACACTGGCCCGATTCATACTGGTGGGTTATAGAACAGATTGGTATCAACCCGAGCCCCGCTACGCTCAGGTCAAAAAGTGCCTATCAACCAGCGGTGACCAGCGCCACGCGCACAAGCCTGCGACTGGTCACGGGAGGGATTGACACGAATCTGTGGCCAGTGTGCAATGATCCCGACCCTAGTAGCGCTTGTGGTTTTCGCTACGGCCCCTATGATATCGAGCAGAGCAGGCTCAGCAACTTCTGGGAGTCCGCTGACTCTGCCACCGGAACTGATGGACGATTCGAGACCAACGGCTCAGCTTTGATGCATGCCTCGACCTTGAGAGCCGGCTCGTCTATAGGAACATACAAGGATAACAAGCTCGGGGCTTATGCCCTTGGGTTGAAAAGTGGTACACGATGTGAGAATGTTCCTGCGCGAGACGTCGAGGAGCAGTGTACTCGTTCTACAGACAACGGGGACCTTTCTGATGCTGCCCGTGGCTGGAACACCAGCCTGGAGATCCCGCAACAATTCCGCCTCAATATATGCTATCCCCCGATCGAAGGAGACCCTTGGGAGTCTGCCAACGCGTCGCCATGGAGACCAATCAAGTTCACCGAACACCTCTACGTCGGTCTCGACGATCCAGACTCCCACGAATGGGAGTGCTCAGGAGGCTGTGATCACTTGGGCTCCAGCAGCGGCCTCTACTTCCACTGCCAGGCAGACTCTATGATGAGTTATTTCGAGATGGGAAAGGCTAGCACCAATGGCATGCCGGGTCGCCTCTTGGAACAGATGCCTGCGGGCTTCGACACCCCTGGCCCGGCTGAGCCGTCTGCCGGGTCGTCATGGTACCCTTATTTTGGACCCCTGAAGACCGCAACAGTGGCCATGTTTGGCAACGACAGTTGGTTGGACATGCTCAAAGTGGCCATGGAGGATGTGGAAGATTCAAACTTGACAATTGCCGCCGCAATAACAATTCTCTGTTCAATGAGACCCCTCGGCGACGCTGACGGCTTCAACGACAATGAGGCGTGTAGAGACGCCGTATACCCATCCCATACATTTTATGAAACGCCTGCAGTTTTGTTTTCGACTTTTGTCCGCGACATGTTGAAGCAATTCCAAACCGGAAGGCGGGCCAGGGCGACACTCAACACGGCGACCTTCTACGCGAACAGCGCCCTACTGACTGAGCTGACTCAAAGAGCCGACGATTCTCCCGCCTACAAGTACGGCATTCAAGAGAGCGACGAGCACCTGTATGTTCCGGTTCTCAGTTTGGCTGCGATCGTGACCGTTTCCATCCTCGTCGGCGTGCAGGTCGTTGGAATCGTCATCCTCCTCGTTTACCTATATAGCAGCAAGGTGTGGACATGGACACTGGACGCTATCGCAGTCGCCCGTATTGGCTCCCAGCTCTCGGGGCTGGACGTATTCCTGGTTCCATGCGAGACAGGAACGCTGGGGCCGGCCTGGCTGACAGTGGATGCCGCAAAGCAGCTGGAACAGACGGACGGACTTGTCGGATCGACCTGCCTGACGGGGCAGATTATGGGCCATGACGATATCGAGATGGCGACCATGCCACCGCCGTACGCCCCGCGGGGTGAGGAGCCGAGCATCAGGGAGGAGAGCCGACTGCCCGGCACGGCGGTGGCGGCTCGGAACACGGTCACCTCAGACCATCTTGCGCCCGAGTACACGCCACCTGCAGAGGAGCACACGACGCGTGCGCCTAGTGGGGAGGCTGAAGTCGCCGGTGGGCGCGGAGGCTTCAGCGAGGTGGCAATATCACGTGCGCCATCATCTGAGCCGCCGGGCGCTGTCTTCCCAACCGTGCCATCAATCGAGGCGCTTGCAGTCGGAGGGCGAGGCCTCATCCCACGGCGAGGATGGAAGAAGGCTGATAAACCTCTCCCCCAAACGGCAGCAGAGTAGTAGTTTGTTCGACTCGGTTGATAAGGGGTGGAGCGTATACAGGGACCACCCTGAAGTAATGTTTGAATAGATTTGGCGCCATCATAGATAATACCCAATATTTGCTATAGAAGAGAGTTATTATTCCAGTCTCCTGTCACCGCCATAACAAGTGGCATGGGGTTGCCGCGGCTTTCATCTTTTCTCTGATCACAATTTAGGGAACTCAGGATATGGGTCAAGACATGTACGTCTCTGGACAGCCTCACCAGGAGCCAAGCCGATGAATCGTAATTAAAAGGCAATTCTCGCGATTCCTCTTGTGTCAGCCCTCCTATACCAGTTCATCCCAACACCCATCATATCCAAGCCGCCGGACGCTCAGCACCACGCAAGCTCTTGCTCCTCGCACCATTCCTCGCGGGCAGCGGCGGAGGCGGCGCGTCCTGCCCCGTCCAGCTCGCCATGCCGACACCGACAGCGGCATTGCCACTCACAGACGAGCCCGAGCCGTTCCTCGAGCTAGCCGTGTGCCGGCGGCGCGGCGGCGGCCCGCGGTGTAGCGGGGGAGGCACGCCCAGGGCGGTGCACGGCGCCGAGCTGTCGCGCGTCGAGGGCCGCCTGCTCGACCGCGAGGACGGGCTGTCAAAGAAGAGGAAGCTGGCAAGCGCCTGCGCCTCGGCTTCGGCTGCTACTGCGGCGGTGGCGGCCGGGGACGGGGGACTTGGTGCGGGGGACGACGACGACGATGAGCATGGGGAGATGGCGTGGGGTTCATGCACGGTATTCGCGTGGCTTTCGTTGTTGTAATGTGTGTTGTCGAAAAGGGGATGGTGCTGCAGGTTCGGCTCGGTGTCGATGATGGCTGTGTGGCCCGCGGGGGACGGGATGCCTGCCTTCTCCGAGGTCCAGCGGCTTGGATGAGGTACGATAGGGGTTATGGGCGATATGTCATTGATAATGGGCTCTGACCGGAGAGTCATAGGCCTCGGTATTGTGATGCTCTGTAATGGCACGATCGTCGGGCTCTCCCTCGACCGTTTCTGCCCCTCAGAATCATTTCTGACATCGCCTGCTCGGCTGGTGGCTTCGTTGAGTTGCTGTTCGGTCGTGTCTCCTCCTCTGCCGGCCTGGTCTCGTCTCGCGCGTCGCCTGCGCCAGGCCAAGTAAATGACGGCCAGCATGGCAAAGACGAGCACGGCTGTTCCGCCCAGGACACTGCCTATAATTATTCCAGTGGTTCGAGCTGATCCGATATCAACCGGGGATACCGTCGAGGTTTGAATCGGTGCTGTCTCTGTAGTATGAGAGGAAAGAGAGGGTTGGACGGTGTCCCCAGTGACGGCAGCGGTAGTGGTCGGCACCGCAGTGGTTCCTGTCAGCCGCGGAGAAGAATTTATTTCACTCTCGAATGCACTTGGAGTCGACGAAATTGCCAGAGCAAATACACCTGGGGAAGAAAACGATCGTGTTCTTGATGCACTCGAGCTTGACCTCGGCTCTGCCGAAAAGGTGGTCGGCGTCTGGGCGAGGTTGAGGGGCAATGCATGATCTTTGATAGTGAAAGCCTCAAAAGCACGACTTGAGCTCACCGTGCGGCTGCCGAATGCTGGCTCAGACAAGCTGGCCTCACGGGCGTGATGTCCGACACCCCCAGGGGTACCGGAGGAGCTGGGAGCGGTCGGTGACGGAAGGCGATACTCTAAAAGATGAGAGTAGGGCGCCGCATTCGTGTATCGATGCATTTTCGTACTCATTCTCAAAATGCTACTGAAAAAGAAGATAGATTCAAGCAAAGGAGACCCGGGGTGGGTTTACTGGAGATACAACACAGGAGACGCCATGAATTTGCCGGCGAAAGAAAATAGACCAAATGCTGCTGAGAGCATTGAGATTCCATCATTCTTACTGTTCTATTTGAGGTGCCGAGGAGGACGTAAAAACGTGTACTTCGGCAACGAAGCCGCGTCCTGAAAAGGAATCGAGTCGGTTTGACAGACTTTTGCGTCCCAGGGGCTGGCTCTGCCGTCTGGGAGACGGGATATCCGGCGGGACATTGGACGGGACGGGAAAGTTCAGGATTGTCGTTTGCTGAAGAATGTGACATGCCACATAGCTGGGAGATGTAAACAAAGAAAGTTGATAGACTGGCAGAACTTGACGAGCACGTTGCACAAAAAACACCGTGTGTTGCGCCAATTATCAAGGTCGTACGTACATCGCGACCAGTTTGCAAAGTGGCGGTCACTGATATTCAAATGGAGTGAACAAACGATGGGAATCTATTTCGTTGGGCCGATATCATATGACAGAGGATGTCTCTCTATATTTGAGGGCTAACAGTAATACCAGCTTGAACGCTGGGCCTTTTCAGATATCACATTATCATTTCGCGCAACCCCCGCCCCCTCTTCCAGCTGACGGGAATGAGGCCGTCAGTGTGACAGTCCTACGCGTTCAAGCACCGTAACCCCATTCCCACACCCAGTTGTCTACGATCTTCACCGGGTCGTACTTCTTCTCCTTCTCGGCGCTCACGACGTCCCCAATTTCCTTCGGATGACGAGAGGCCTTGTCGGAATCAAGGGAACGGTGATGGGTGGGTTTGTGGGAAGAGTGAGAGTGGTGGCGACTACCTTTTTTGTTGGCTCTGGAGCGGGCGGCGGAGGCAGCCCCTGGACTGTGACGGCAGGTGACTTCCTGTGATGGGTGGATGGCGGTGGCTGGGTAGCCTGCTTGGCTGGCGGCGACGAGGCCTTGCTCGGCGGCGGCGGCGGGGTTTTCTGTTGCTGGTGTTGCTTGTGTGTACTGGTAGTGGTGGCTGTGGCTGGCGTCTCTGTTACCACTGACTGTTAGGGCGGCAAAGTCATCTGGCAGCGAGTGCGAGGCAGCAGCAGCAGAAGCATTGTAGTAGCAAAATGCGCAGGTGCAGCCGCTCTCGGCCGTTTCATTATAGCCGGCGGACGGTGGCGGCTGCTCAGGGAGTGGAATCGCAGTAGCAGAAGCAGGAGCAGGAGCAGCGGTCTCTTCAAATCGCACTGGCTCACCAGCTGGGGGTGCCGAGGCGGCTGCCGACGCTGACGCCGACGACGACTTGGCTGGAGGAGCGGCCTCAACGGGCTTTTGCTCCCATATTGTTGAGAAGTCCTTGGTGAACTGGTAAACCCATCCACCTGCCCTTCATCGTCAGCGTTGTTTTCATCTTTCTCCTTGATGTACACATGATACTCACCATCCTCTGTTGCCTTTGCTCTCCAGTAGCCGTCCCAACCAGCCCCCTCGATCGGTTCCCACTTGGACCACTCCGGCGCTGGCGGGGGTGCAACGTCTTTCTCTTGAGACGCTTCCTTGGGCTCCTCCTTCTTAGGTTCCTTGGGAGGTTCCTTGGTGGAGTCCTTGACCGAGGGAGCCGCAGGAGCGGGCGGTGGAGACTTCTCCAATGATGGTCTCCTCACTTCAACCCGACGCATCACCGTCCCCGCGACGGGGAGCTCACGTCGTCTGGAGTGGCGGTGCTTTTCCGTGTAGTACGATGACATTTTGCTATCAAGTCCTATCGCACTGACGAGGAGAGAGAAAGCATGATTCACGACCAATGACGAAAGAGCGTGGAATAAGAATCCATGACAGTGACAGCGCTCGGGGAAAATAGCCGGGGGGGGGGGGGCAGGCGTTTATAAATCGAAAGCAACCGAGAGGCAGAAGGGGCGGATCTGGTTGTTTGACACGCTGAGCATGTTGGAGGTGTTGGTCACCAGGGCCATTCCCTGACTGCCCGCAGCGGGAAATAGGTGCCCAAGGAAAGCTTCGGGCCTTGTGGATTCCCAGGGTGAGCGTGACGCAGTCAGGAACGCCGCCCGCTGTCGAAATGTCGCGCAGTAGTGCGACAGTGCACGCGACGGTTGAAAAGTACCTCACGCCCTCACTGCCTTTTGCCGACGGCAGCTGACCCAATCAGTGGGCCGAGAAGGCGTCGTGCTGTGACCTGGCGACAGTTGGCGACGGCGACGAGCCCCGTCAGCATACACTCTTGTGCTGCGCGCTGCCTCTTCTTTCGAGCTGTCATCTGGTTGGCACTTATTTGCCAAACCCACTTGGTGGCCAGTGGCTTTTTAGGTTGCGCCTAATAGCACCCGAAAATGACCCCGAGATCGTGCACTTTCGCCTGCACGTTTTTAGAGCGATGCCGCAGCGCAGCCGGGCGCCGGGTGCTGGTCCCAGGCATTGGCCAAAAAAAGCTCAGGTGACCTTCCGATCTGAGGAAGTGAGGGCGGTTCCAAACGTTATCAGGCTCTCGGTAATGGCTGCCCTATTGTTGAGCTGTTGTGGCCCAACCCGGTGGCGGTCTTATTTGCCTAGGCTGAGGACTCCCGCAGGGCTGCCCAACTGACCGGGGGTGGCCTTGTCCAGGCCCTTCGCATAGCGCGCCGGCCCCGTTTGTTAGGTATTGGTCATCAGGGCCCTTCGACAACACTTCTCGAGAGTGGTGTGAATATCGAATGAAAATTAACTTCAATCCAAGAAGCCAACCCATCACGGGCCTATATTGCGAAGTCCACATCGTATCTGCCAGTCACACGCACGTGATTGGCAGCCGGGCGTTCCTCAGGCCTGCGCCGGCGTCTGCGTTGGGCTTGATGCATTTGTCAAAGACGCCATGTAAGCTGTTGGGAATCGCTCACTGGTTGTATGACTTGGTGGAAGAGTGGCATGGCTGCGTGGTGATTTCGAGCGCGTTGTCTGTTTCGATCTCACCGTCTCTGATGCTTTCGGTTCCATCTCTTGGCCTTCCGCGACCACAGCGACGATCCGGTCCCAGTCTCTTCCAGGGCCTCCAATCTGGCGCCCCCATCCTTCATGCATTTCACCTGTTCCGGCGGAAGTTGTTGCCACCTGATCTTGGATTTCTCGTCTTGTTCCGGCCCGACCCATGTCGAGGTGTAGCCTTTCAGAGCCTTGAGTGACCTGCCCTGATCAGTCGAGTGCTCGAGACTAACACTGGGCACGACAGAAATCTTGCCCCAGCCCTTATACCACAGGTCCTTGCAGAACAGAGCCGGCCCTTCATGGAAACATTCTTCTGAGTCAGGATTCCTGAAACCCAGGTCCCCGTACAGAATAGGGTCTGCCGTTAAGGTGACCGCACCGCTCCAGCAGCTGAACACCTGAAAGGGCAGGCGGGTGCTGTATCGACTTTTTGTCTCATAATCGTTCCAGAAAAGATTCCAAGCCTCGTCCCAACTCCCCTTGCCCTCTGGGTCTCTGGAGAAGGATTCGCCCGTCAACGTCCGCGAGCCCCAGACATCGTAGTATATGGGGTCTCGTCCGGCAGAGTTCCAATCCATTGCACATGTCATGTCAGCGCCCAGGTGGATCCGCTGATAGGCCAGCTCGAGTATATCCTCCATGCAGATAGCGACGTCGTTCAGAAAGATGATGGTTGTATCTTCCGAGTATAGGCGTCTATTATCGAGCATGGGCTTCAACACAAGGTTCCTCATATTGGCCGAACTTGGCTGCCGTTGGTCATGCCCGTCCGGGGGCCCGTCCGGGGGATCGACACTGCTGGTTTCGAAGAAGTAGCGGCCGATCCCCAAGGCGTCGAGCTCGGGCCGTATTGCATCAAGCACCAAGGTGGTTCCATCATCGCTGTTCCCCCCGACGATTGAGAGGACGCAGTGCTGGGGGCCAAGGAAGCGGATTGCCTCCACGACACTTCCGACAAGCCGGGGCAAGAGATCAACAACCTGGGTCACATCCAGGGCAAAGTAATATTTGAAGATCTTGAGAGCCGTGTTGCGACGCGTATTGGCTGCAGAGCTCAGTGTTTCGTAGCGTGCCAAGACTGAAGGTGGCGGCACAGGGCACGCAAGCCGCTCAAAGGTCGCATCGGCAGGATCAAAAATGGCCCGGACGAAGTCGTCCACGTTCTCCAACGTCTGGGGTGCCGCGACGCCGAAGTCTTCGCCAGGCCCGCCCCCGCAAGTATCATGTACAGACGCCTGCTGTGGAGGTGTTGCAGGTTGCGTCACGGTGGCTTGGGGATGTGTGCCTCGGTCTTGCCCACCCTAGTCAGCCAACATCACCAGAACGGCAGGTCGGCCGACAAAAACACCCGACTCACCAGAGGCAGGGAAGAGACTCTGGGCCGGCCCGAACATTTCTGCCAATGTGTCGCGATACCAGAGAACAAACACGACAGAGAGTGACAGCATCGCGAGCCGCCCGCTAATACCTTTGTGGCGCATCCTGCGGGGAGGAACCGGGCATGAGTAGTTGCAAACGATGCTGGCGACCTATAAGGCTGACAACATTGAAGTTTGTGGAGGAATCGAGGAGAGTTAGTCAACTGCACTTCCATGGGCAGAGGACCGACTTAAGGCGTAGCCATCTGCTCCGTGACACTCACAGCCGCGCATTGTGTCGATCCGCTTTCTGTCCACCAAGCCTCCCCGACCAGCAATGGGCGACTGTCTGGGATTGCAGCATCTGGCCAGTCATTCAGGTGGGTCTCTTCCACCCTGAATCCACTGCCTGGCCAATCCCAGGGTTCGTTACTGGTATACAGTAATAGAGATCAACACGGGACTCCATGGCCACTCCGACAGGGCGTTACAGTTATACTTGGTGACAATTTGTCGAATCCAATGTGCATTTCTGGCAGATGGAAGAGGTCGAGAGCGTGTGGACGTCAACCCTAACCCAGCAAGCAGCAAGCAGCATGCCATAGCTTGCCCATATGCATACCTACCTAGGTACCTAGGTACTTATTAAGTACCTACGTACCTACCTACCGAGGTAGGCACCTAGGTACATCCCGAAGGAGAAGGCGTACAGTCCGGTCCCTTCATGCAGTGACTGCACATGTAGTAAACGATCAAAAACTCGTCCCTGGTAGAGATCTATCAACTCTTCTCAAGATGCTTCGAGCGGGACCAGCTCTGTTCCGTTGCCTCAGAATTGGCTCCATTGTTGTCGTTGGCAGTCCTGTCTAATAGGAACCTTGGAACCAGGTGTTGGATGCACATCTCCCTTCTTTGGTTTGAATTGTCTGAGCTCACCTCGTTGCTTTTGGACATGGTGCTGTGATACAAGCGGGCCTCAAGACTCACACACCTCCTCGAGTCTAGCTCTATCCACCTGGAGCCTAGAGAACTGGACCTGGCGTCAGAGAAAGCGGCGGCAGGTAGCATTAGATTTGGCCCAGTTGGAAGCTGGGGAGGCGTACCTGTAGGTGGACTACGAGCCCTTGAGCTTTTGGCAGACGGTGGGCTCATGAAACCATTTTCTTTTCCAAGCTCGCCTTCAGAACCCCAAGTCACACGGGTTGTGGACGTCTGCCGGGTCCAAGTTGCACACTCAGGGCATTCAAGCATGCTAATAATATGCCGGCTTTCTTCTCAAGGCTGGGAGCTGTACCTCTCAGGCGAGTTTTCTTTCTGTCCTGACAGACGCCCGTTTCGTACCACGCAAATGCACTGGCCTGCACTGATGGGTCAATCTTTCCTCTGGAGATATTGACCGTGGCTTATTCCCTGGTACTTAGGTACTTACTTAGTAGGTACTGGGATCACAAGGACGACACGCGACCATCCACTATCAGCCATCATCCAACTTTGTCTGCCGTTGAGCGTCTTGACCGAGGCGCCGACGCGCGTCAACAAATTTCGCATTCACGGGTGCTCAGGCTTGTGGTTGCCCTGAAAGCACATGCAATTGTTGCACCCCCGCCACTGTGTGAGCATTGTTGTGACTGTTCAGTGAAACCCTAGCTGATTGCAACTTTCAGCCTCGTCTCCTCTTCGTCCTCTTGACTCATCGCTTCTACAGCCACCTGGGCACTCAGCAGCCTCTCATAGCGGGTGAGAAGTGATCAAGAAGCCAGTCCCCCGCTCTTGACTGCAACTTGGCACGCTGTTCAGGACGGTTCCCCCCTCCCCAATCACCCAGCGTCACAATGTCGTCGCCCACGCCTTTCCACAGAATCCTCTGTCTTGTCATCTTTGCCGCTTTGTCATGGTTTTTGGTTGTCGCGAAGCCCATTGAGCTCCCCGCTCGAGAACGGGCCCGACACGCGAGCAACCTGCCTCTCGTCGTCATGGCTACTGTCGGCGCGGGAGGCTTGCGAAACGAACTGACCTTCGACTTCGACACCTCTCAAATGCCAACTTTGATCCTCGACACGCCTGCATGCACCCATCCTGTCTGTGATGCCCCAGACTGCCAGACTACTGGTGCCGTTTCAACCTCGAGCGCCATTACCTGGTAAGAGCGACATCGCAATGCTGCCCCAACAGAAAAGCAACCGCTGATTTATCATGAAGCTCGTCTCTCCAGCATTGCTACCTCGACGGCGAGAGGGAAAGTGTGATCACAACGGACTCTTACGACTCTCATGGAGGCCTCGCAACGGAGAAATTGAACGCGCTTCATCCCGTCCTGACTGACACGAGCGTGGCCCCCTTCCTGTCCACTGGGAACTACGAAATTTCGCCAGTTACCTTCACCCAAGCTCTAGCTGTTACGACAACACAACCGGCATTCGAGGACAACCTGCCTTCCCCTCTAGGTGCGGCACCTCATGAGGAAACGACAATTACTCATACCGCGACTATTCCTCAGGACCAAGACGGCGATACCTCTGGGCCGGGGACGGCACTGGCACCCGGAGATACAATGACCCCGGTGCCTGGTCAAAAGACTGTGTACGTGACCGTCACGGAGGACCCCAGCACTGCCACCACCCCTCCGAACCAGCCTTTTAGCAACAAGCCTCTATCTACAAGCCACCCGGAGTCCAAAAAGACCGCAATCATTCTTGGATCCGTCTTCGGATCCCTGGCGGTCCTATGCATCTCCGTTGTCTCGGTGGACCGCCTCCGCAAGCTCAGACGACGGAAGCGCGAGGAGTCCCAGGAAGTCCCGGAGGGCCAGAAAGTACAGGAAGGCCAGGGTGGCCAGGGAGGCCAGGGAGGCCAAGAAGGCCAGCAATGCCAAGACTCGGTCTCGAGCGTCGAAGACATGTCGGAGCTCCTTAGACTGCAGCAGCAGACCTACGGCTACTACGGCACGCAGAGAGTCGCCAGCAGTACCATTATTCCGCAGCAGATGAAGAGCTTCCCGACCAGCTCTGAGCCCGTCGAGCTCCCCACCCCCAAGGGCGACACCGTGGAGAAGGAAGGTCGCAGCGCTCACTGGGCTCAGTCGGCCCAACCGCGATACTGATCGTGTGGAGTTTGAAATTTTGTTCGTTCATGTTTTTCAAGTTTTGGGAATCTGGAAAGGTAATCGAGACGGGGAGGGCAAGCGACAACCTCTTGCTGTCAATACGGAACGGTTTCCATACTGGCACTTGCAGGTCTGCAGGTCACTGGCCCAGTGGTCGTCGATGACAGTGCGCATGCTGTCAGGGCGACACGCGGCGGTGGGATCAGTCTACAGTGACTCTCACTGTGACTGGAAATCCTCAAGTAGCGCCGTTACCGGAGCGCAGCCTTCACAGGAGCAGCCTCTCCTTGGACGCTTGGCTTCCGGGTATTTGCGTCGATCCCTTTCGAAGAAAGGCATCCGTAACAACACATGAGAATCTGGTAGATACTCACTAATGAATTGATGATTTGGAATTTACCTCGAAACGGTGGTTACAAAGACAGCTGACCTCATGGGATTTTGTGAAGATGTTTGTCCCAGTTGCTGCCGTCTTGCTAGACTGCGCTGTCCGGCTCCAAATTCAAGCAAGGCTAGCGCTAAATACCTACTTAAGTGCCTAGATACTTAAGTAAGTACATCAGCTCGAAAATCCTGGTGCAGGGCATGACCTTCAGACAGTTTCAAGAAACACCCCACAAAGAGCAACATGATATCTTGGCCGAAGACCGGGAAGTGCACTTTGGCTGTCGCCTGCAGCTTCTTCTTCATCTTCGTCTTGGCTGTTGGACTGTGATCTGTTACCAAGTTGCAAGCGGCAATAAGTAGGCAATGCCCACGAGACTTGGCCAGCAGGCATTTCTACGGTGCGTGATGACTCCGGGGCTTTCGCACCACAGTTGGCTCGAGATTAGGGTTGGGACGGGGGTTTTAATGTTCTCAAATACGTCTCCTGGAAGACACAGATACCTAGATTTTGAGTTACTAGAGCACGTAAAGCACAGCGATCTTGAGTTGCTCCAAGCCGGCTGGCCACCGGTCAAAGTCTAAGCACCACCGTCCGCTCATAGCGTCCGCTAACTCTCATTCCGCTCACACAATTTCTCAACCATAGAAATGAGAATTTCCTGACGATTTGAGCTCGCTCTCCATCATCTAGTCTCCGTCTCTCTCGTACAGGAATTTTCCCCTACCATACTCACGGAGCCTTGCAGCAGATGTACGAAAGCCAGAAATCTGCCTAGACATCTCTACTATAAACCATCGGGTACAGTGTGCCCCAAACGTGATGAATGGAGCGGGAAGTCTAACAGAAGTAATACCTAGGTATACAGCACAATACTCCTCAGAGACTGGGACAGACCTACGCAAGAAACGCCAGGCACGGGACCACAAGACAGTCCAACAAAATGCTTTCCACGGGGAATATCATCCTAATCGCAGGGCTATCTATAGTCTTCCTCCTGTGTTGGGCATGGGTGCCGTTCGCCCTGGTAGCGAAGCTGCTCGGGTTGGGTGGGCACCGAAAAAAGCTTGAGGGCGACCTGCTCCCGGTGCGCGCCACCGCAGGCGAGGTACGTTACCGGGCCGAGGGCTTCGTCCCGCCGTCCCAGGCACTGCAAGACGACCCCCAAGCCTTCGACCCAGAGGCGCGCCACCACGAGTTCCTCAAGACGGACCCGCGTCTGGCAGAGCAGCATTTCAAGACACGAGAGACCAGGGATGCGTACGAGGCCACGTTCGGCCTGGGCCGCACGAAGAGTATGTCGGCGGCGTCGGCGACACAGCAAATAGACGGTGGTGTCCAGAAGCCGGCCGCTACGCTGAGTCGGAATCAGGGCAAGGAGGTGTGGGAGAAAGCCGACGATCAGGCCGAGGACCAGCAGTGGATTTGATTCGCAGCTTGAGGGTTGTTAGTCTGTCCCGCATAGAGCCATAATACTTGCAGTTTGGATGATTTGTGGGGGATTCAGCAGTTCCACATGACATTCAACCGCCCGGACGGATACCAGGACATTTTTATATAGGCACCTGCGCATCGGATCGTCCAACGCCCATGCTCAGATGAATCTAAGACCCATAGATCTTTTGGAGCCACTGAGTGACACTCTCGCCGAACTCCTTCGGGAACTCCAGCAGTCCCCAGTGACCACCTTCAAGGGTGACATTCGTCAGTTGCGGCAGAAGGCCAGCCTGAACAGCGGGTAGGATGCCCTCCTTCCTGCAGACGGCATCTCCCTCGTACCCGAGGAACAGCGTCGGCACGTTTACGACCTGGTTGTCGGGATTCGCCTCCTCGTTCTGGTGCCCGAAAACGTGGCTCCTGTACCCTAGGTGGAGCTAATGTCAGCGGGTTCTGAGAGGAATGCCTGAGGCAGTCTCCGTTCCAAGCCTCCAAGGTGGGAGAAGTAGCTCACAGCATGCTGGGGCCTCGAAGCCGTCTCGCTTGAAACGGTCGACGAAGGCTTTCTTGAGCTCCTCCGTGGCATACGAATGCGGCCTGATGTTGAACCCTTGGCCTCTGTTTTCCAGCGCCTTTCGCATCCCGTTCTCTGTGCAGAAGGTGTCTTTCCAAGCCTCGGGGTCGTGTGCAATGTCAAACAGTATGTCCACATTGTCCTCCATCAGCTTCGGGCCCTAGATGCGATTTCAATTAGTAAATTCATGGGCTTAAGATGATGTTTCATCTGAGCAGTCATAGAAAGCAGCGTGAACCCATCGTCACGGCCCACAGCCAGCCCAATGATCAATCGATACCTTGTCCACCTTGCTCTGGGGGGAAGAAGCTCGTGAGTCTCGGGTAACATACGTCGTCTGCAATGAACAGCTTCCAGTACCAAAACGTGCCGTAGCCAAACGCCTGCTGCGTCTGCGCCAGCACCGCATCAAGGTCAAATGCACCCCTGGTTGCGCCCATGTACGGCACGTTGACCATGACTAGACCAATTACCCGTTCAGGGTGGAGGTTGTAAAGCATCTGGGCGGCGCGAGAGCCCCAATCGTGGCCCAGGGAAACGACCTTGTCGAGCTTCTCCGCGTCGATTATCTCAACGACGTCGGCAGTCATACCACCAAACTTGTACGCGGCGGGGTCGGTCGGCTTGGACGTCCCGGCGTACCCAAGAAGGTCCGGGGCAATGATCCCATAGCCGGCTGGCTTCAGGTGGCTATTGATGAGGTCCTGCCACTCCTCGGCCTGGTCAGGGAAGCCATGGTGCAGCAGGATTGTGGGCTTCCCAGATGCGGCGGGGGATACGTAGTACGTGTACTCGAAGCCACGCTTGGTGGTGATGGTCTTCTTGGTGAGGCTATCCATCATTGATGCTTGGTGAGATGACTGTAGTGGTTGTTGAGGCAAATTCAGTGGCGCGCAATGCCTCCGGTGAGGGGGAGGGGGCTTTACTAGTATACTTTATACTTAAGTACACTGCAGAATACTAGACCGCCAATTCTGAGCCGCGACGCGGACACGGAGCGCTCGGGGATTCCTGTCCGCAATACAGTAATTATGCGCAATAGATCGCACGGCGGTGCACGAGCATCCGGTTGCCGGCTCGATTCAAAAGTCCGTACCTCCGTGCTGTGCGGATACACCTCACCGCGCAACTCTAACAGCTTTGGAACGTGGATTGACGCAAGTGGTCAGTTCTCGTTATCCACCAATGATCATTTCCTCGATTGCAAGCTTAGAGACTCTAAAAAGCTGACGCTATTCTTTGTACAAGACGGGCCACACGCCAGGGGGATGTCCCAAGTCGTCAAACAGATCACTGTAAACAGCAATCATAATAGACCTTGAATGCCCCGAGCGCGGTTTTGTCGTGCTGTTTATTAGGCTGGCCGAGATCTGGCCTTGGCTTACCATGTACGTCCCGCGAGTCAGTGCTTAAGTACTCCGGGGACAATCTCCAATAGGCAGGCACCCTAGGGTAAGTACTGAAGTACTTAAGTACTTAGTATCTATGCCTGCCGGGGCGAGAATGTCAGAGTATGTCTTGGAAGCTGGTTTGACACAGAATGTATATCGTCTGTTTGGAGTCTAAGTTCTTATAGATGGATCATCTAAGCGATGGCTCCTTCTGATTACTAAGTCGCGCAAAGGATTTTGGGCAGGGCCTGTTCAGGCTATTCTCGTACTGGCTGACCTATGACAACCCTGGCCAAAAGCACCGCCCCCGGGGGCGATCTGCTGACCAATCTCGCCCTGGGTTTTTATCTCCAACGCATCAGGCAACCCGTTCGCGTTCTGCCATTGTCCACGGCGAATGCCCTTGAAATGAGATTATTTGGTTCGTCGACCCAACAATGACACGCGCCGGTGCGTCATCCCCGAGGTCGTGTTGACATGCACAGACGGGCTCGCCGGCGATGGCAACTTGGCATTTGCCCGAAAATGGGGGAAGGCCAGGGCTGGAGGGCTGGGTACGACAAGCATCACCAGCAAAGCTGAATGCGGTTGCTGGTGCTGCTGGTGGCTTTGTAGCCGGCCTCGTGACTTGTCCTCTCGACACAATCAAGATCCGCCTCCAAGCCCAAGAGTCCTTCATTCTGAGAAGGAGGCATCGGTCTCCCGCCTGTACGCAGAGGTTCTACAAGGGTACTTTCGGGACCGCACGGGTCATACTGAGAGAGGAGGGAATCAGAGGTCTTTATCGTGGAGGGGGCCTCATGGTTCTGGGATACCTCCCGACATGGGCCCTCTGGTTTGCAACGTACGAAAAGAGCAAAGCGGTACTGCAGAATATATTTAGTGAGTGGTCATCCCGGCGCCTTCTAGACAGATTTACTATAGTAAGAGAAAGCCTGGAGTGCTGACAGGGTCGCAGATAATATGGTGGTCATCAACATGTGCTCCTCGATATTTGCAGGACTAGCATCCACTGCAATCACGAACCCGATATGGGTCCTGAAGGTTCGCGTCATGTCGCAGCCACTACGGGCCAAGAGACGCTGTCCCAAAAATTTGGCAGACATGACGGCTTCTTCATATCACCGGCCTCACTGGTACTACCGCTCTGGCCTCGACGCAGCTCGAAAGATGTACCGATACGAGGGAACACCTGCATTCTACTCTGGCCTGGGGCCCGCGCTTGTTGGGGTGTCCCATCTAGGGGTTCAGTTCCCGGCCTACGAGTACTTGAGGCGAAAGTTTACTGGTGGAAGCACTGGCGATCCGGGAGCAAACTGGTTCGCAGTCCTATATGCGTCGATATTTGCCAAAGTATTGGCCAGTAGTGTCACATACCCTCACGAGGTCATTCGCACCAGGCTACAAATTCAGCGGCGTGCAATGCTTGGCCCAGAGTTCCTGCTCGGGCTTGCCAGCGCCAGACGAGGCTCCGATCTTATGCTCAGACCGAAATACAGGGGAATGGTTCGCACATTCCAGACAGTAGTCAGAGAAGAAGGCTGGAGAGCGCTCTATGCTGGTCTGAGCACTAACATCCTGCGAACTGTGCCATCCGCAGGCGCCACAATGCTGACCTATGAGTGGGCGATGCAGACCTTAAACGGTTTCAAAAAGGCAGAACTCGACTTTGAAGGGGGAATGTGAATTGTATGCTAATATAAACCCACTAATTACATCAGTGTGAAGCTTTGTAAGTGCTCATGAGATATGCTGTCGCGTGGATTCCAGGCCTCGCCATGGCTGATGCCCGCCAGGTACGCGACTGCGAAGAAGCGATATCGATCGGAGCTTGAAGCTCTGAGCACAGTGGGCAGGGTACAGCCAGCTAAGAGCACAACCTCGTCTCCCTCGCGAACACTGAACTGTGAAACACCGAGGTGCCCTGATACCGTGATGAATAGGGTGCACCCACCCAGATAAGGGTTGAACCTCATCACTCCGTCAAAAAATTCGTCGAATCCTTCCGCGAAGGAAGAGTATGGGCAGGCGAGTTCGTTTTTGAGCACAGCTTCCCTGATCGTATCCCGCCAATCCCAAAACCATGTGGCAATGTCTTCTGCAAAATCAGGCGACCCTCTGGTCTCGAGTGGCGCAACACACGAGACCCTCTTGATCGTCGAGAATTTTGATCCCTTCAGCAACAGCTCGCCTCTCTTGGATTGGGCGAGCAACCGCAGGTCTACCTTGCTATTTCCCGTAGCCTGGGCATCGAGTTGGCTATGCGCCCACCTCCGCATTGGGTACTTGGCCGGAACTTGCAAATCAATGACCCATGACGGCAGGCTACTCTCGTACTGCAGTGGCGGGAGGGTTTCCAGGTATCTCAGCGTCCCTGACAGTCGTATCGAATACCTCGCAAATTGTTCGTACACTTCTTGGTACGACATATCGTATCTGACCTGCAGAGTATCCGTATTTGGCTCGATCCTCTGCATCAGCGGTAGGAAAGCATAGACTTTGTCCCTAGGATCGGTGGCACCATTCGTACGGGCGCACTCTACCAACCCCGAGTAGATGTCGAACTGGGAATTCAGCATCTTGCGGCCGCCGCCCTTGGCTTTTGATTGCGTTGTGCTCTGAAAGGCAATCCAGGTGAGCAAACGCAGTGTGACGGGGGACTCCTCGCCGCCGAGCGACTTGATGGATTTCATGTTCCAAGCCCAGATATTCACGAAAGCTGCCCAGGCACACTCGTGGTGTCCGATGACGACCACGGCCTTGGAGGACAGGAGTTGCTCCTGCAATGTCCACACGCGGGTAAACCAGCTGGATTCACCAATCTCTTCGAGTATTCGGGAGTCTTCAGCGCTGCGTACAGCTACTCTTTTGTCAGCGAGTTGGCCCACTGGATAAGTGAGAACATATGCGACCATAGAGCTGGGGGCACTCACTGTGGACCCAAGCCCAGTTGGCAATGCGGGAGACAAAGTCCAGCCTGCGAAATTCATGCCCAGCCCAAGGGCCGAAGCGGCGCATAACATAGAGCTGAGGCGATATAAAAGGATTGAACAGCTTGACTCTGCGGAAGAAGTTGGCCACGCTGGTGCGTTCCGGGCCCAGCCAGATGATGACACGCTCTGCCGACTCGAATATATCCCCCATGAGGGGCACCTGATGATTCTTATCCGAGGTTGACAGTTGGTTGATGCAGAGAGCGTCAACCCAGAGGTTCCTCGTCTTAGTCCTCAGTCGCAGATGCCGCAGCAACGACTCGCAATTCGAAGTGACCTGGATGCTTGCCTCGTCGCAAGAGACCTCCCGATCGCCTCTTATCGCCCCCCACACATAAGAAACTGCCTCATAGCTGTGTCCGGCATGGTCCTCGAGGGAGACCTGTTTGAGGGAGAGGTGGAGTGGATCATCAAAGTGGTCTGACGGCTGGAGCTCAAGGATGCGGATATCCCGGGCCTGTCTGAGTTTTTCGTACCGGTAGCGGTTTCGGGAAGAGAGGCTGTCTGAAGACCACCTCTTGCACCACTCGATGGATGCGGGTGGCTTGAAACGACGCGGGGATCTCAGTCGTGGTGATGAGAGTGTCCTGACTAGTAAAGACCCGGCTCCCCGCTTGAAGCAGAATGCACACAACACTGCCGACGTTGCCATCGACCCAACCTTGCCGAGAACCTCCCAGGGGGCTACAAAGTTCTTGCAACGGGACTAAGGCGGAAGACTGCAATGCGACCGAATCATGGAATCGGGAGGAGGTTCCTGCCAAAACTTGGTAACATCATCATCTTTTCTCGGGGCTGAAACCTTGAAGGAGCCCCACCGTGGCCAAGCAGTCAGCCACTAGGTGCCACTAGGTACCACAGTACGGAGCACTTCGAAGCTGCTCGGCCGCCCCCTCACCCATTCGCAGCACTTGAGGAGCTGACAGAGGCATGCATGTCTCTCGTAGGGCCTGAAAGAGCTACGTTATAGACCGAACTGAATACTTCACGATATCGAATAGTCCAAATGACATGATCGGCCAATTAATATCATGGAAAAGACCGCAACAGATTTAAGAGGCTCAGCGTTCCGAGCTCTCGGCTCTGATCCTGTGCATGAGTATGCTATCTATAATTTCTTTTTCCTTGAGTACGTTACCTTAGTACTTGTTAGTTTGTGATAACTAATCAGTACCAATTTGCTATTCAACCCTCAATATTTGAGCCCCGGATGCCTTTGCTCACAAATGGAGGGAACTACTAGTAGCCGCGCAGTAGTAGACTTGACCCCACGGCGTCGGCATCTAGTATGGGAGTTTCTGGCTTCTATCCCACCCCCTCTGCAGAAGCCAAGCCATACCATCAAGTGATTTCATCTTGAGCTCATCAGTGTGAGCATCTGGCACCGGAAAAGTGACCCATGAAACGTGCCCGAGATCCTTGACAACGTCGATGCGAGTCTCAGCGACAGCCTTGTCGCTCAGGACTTTGTCATAGACAACGGCATCGTCCCGAAGACAGTCCAGCTCGCCGGCCTGCAGGTACACCCGTGGAGGGTGGTAGGCCTTGATGCTGCTCATATCCAAGTTGAGGGGAGAGAACCACGGAGAGCCGAAGTCGGGCGCGAGCCTCCTCTCGCAAGCTTGCATCTGCTCCGTTCTCATGGTCAACGAGTCCGCATTGTCCACCCGCGACTTCCACAGCGGCGCATATTCGGCTGGCAGGGCCACGGTGTCGGCCAGCAGGGCAGGAACACCCAAGTACAAGCCCGTCAGCCGGTGCCGGAGAGGGCTGAGACCGTGGACCAGCTCGCTGGAGCTGTCCGCTGCGGCCGCGGCAGAGATGCCCGCGATGACGGCGGCGATATGTGCGCCTGCACTCACTCCCCCTACCACAAAACCCTGCCCTGGCTCAAATCGCACGCCACCACTGTTCGCCAGCACTCCGTCATTGAGATTCTCCGGATGCGAGAGCCACGACACGGCCTCCCACGCGCTCTGCATCGGCGCCGGGAACGGGTGCTCTGGGGCCACCTTGTAGGTAGGGCTTGCGACGATCGCACCGAGCAGGGCGGCGAAACCTCGGGCCGGGGCGAGCATCATCTCAGGTACTCCTCCGGACCATCCGCCGCCGAACAACAGGACGATGAGGGGGTATCCCTCACCCTTCGGCGCCGGACTTGCTGGCCGCGTGATGACTGTGCGACTGCTTGTCCCATCCGGCAGCGGGATTTCAATGGTTCTCTCGACCAGGTGCGACGGACAGGCCCCAAGCTGGTCCATACCCGCGTCAGTCAAGGCCCTCATGGCCTCCCGTCCTTGGGCGAGTTCTTTGGCTTCTGCAGAGGCGGACATGTTGGGTTACCTAGAATTTCGGCTCGCCAGATTAGGAGTAGAATGAGGATCCGAATTCGTCGGTAGGACCTAGTACCACGTGTTTGTAATCCTGGTGTCTATTTGAGTGTTTTTGTTGTTCTGGATAAATTCTGTGTGGGCTCTCATGGAGGAGGAACCCGTCTAGTTCTACAGCGTTTGTGCTGGCCAGCTTCCTTGCGAAGCACGCCCCACACTGGATTTGTTGGGTTCAGCTCTGCCACGTGCGCCAGGCAACCACAAGGCACGTATGCACATCCAGGTATCAGGGCGGAGCGGATTCCTCCCGCGCTAGGACAGATGCTTACGGTGATTAACCAGTACATGAACCCACCTGGGGAAAGGGGCAGCTTGGCGAGAAGGGAGAAGGAAGATATCCATGGATGTCAGTGGGTCCAACCTTGGAAGGCCCAACGACTTGTGCTTTCAGTGCAACAGAATCACGCCGGACACGAACAACTTTAGTGTAGATCCATCTTCAAAGAAGTGGAGGCAACTGGGATTGTCAAGTGTCGTGTCAGACTTTGGCAACCCATGGACTGCATGCCGGCTTCGATTGGGGACGGTTCATGGTCACTAAAGGAATGAAAAGCCGCAATTTCCAGGCGGATATTTGCCTACTTAAGTATTGGGATATCAGTGGTCCCTGTCCTGATATTTATGGTTGCGCTAGAAGGCACAGGCGGAGATTTGATTGCCATTCAATGAGAATAAGACTTCAAGAACATCCAATAACGTTTCCATCTGGCTTATGGCTGAATTGGGTCAAGCCATAGCCCCGACATACCCGTACTATGTACCGTGATCTGATCGGCAGGGCCAGCGCTTCTCCACCTGCATCATCATGCATGTCCTGGGTGTGGCTAGGGCTATGACGGCATACAGCGTCACCCCGACTGATTGCGGGCAAGGAATCACTCGCCTTGCAAGGCCACTGGACTGGGCGAACAAGGCACCCGGGCGTACTCTAGTCGCGACCTAGGTATCCGGTGATTGTCCCGCGATGTTGTCTTTCTTATTGCTACCGCTGTAATTATTAATCGTTCGCATAACATATTGAATCTCACCACACCGCAATGGAGAAACGATCCAAGTGGAAGCTATTTTCAAAGGACAAGAGCAAGAGTCCTACAGATGATCCGGGTTTCAGTGTGCCGTCGGACAATAGACTGGCTGTCCCTGACGCCAGCAATTCAGAGACCACAAACTCATTGACCACTGAGGGCAGCTCCAACGCCTCCGCAACGTTGACAAACCCGTCCTCGAGCAACACATCAAACCCTAGGCAGGCCAAGGGCAACGGTATCAATGACATGGCGGCGATTGGACCGGGAAGCCAACTTCAGGACCCAGCGACGCAGAGCAACCCTACTATCAAACGTGAAACTCATACCAATACGAACACAGGCCAGACTGTGACCACAACAACAACCACCACCACCACAACCACCACGGTGACTGGTCCTAATGGAACCACAGTCGTTCAGGAGCCTCGAGTAGGCGCCGCCGAGCTACCGGCAGCCAGTACGCCAGGGTCTGATTACCAGCCAGCGCCTACTCCCAACGAGCCCGGACTCCGACCTGCTCCATTGACAATACCCCCACGGCCGCCGAAGGAGGCTCTAGACTCAGCTCCTAGGAAGAGTTCGGAAACACCCGGTCGCCGAATTATTCCTCCTCGCGACCCTCTGACATCACCTTCTGCGACAGGCGTGTATGACTCGATCGCGACACCACCAGTGCCCGAGCGTAGCACGAACAGGTACGGTGCTCCGCAAAACTTCTCATACCCGGGGAGGAATGATTCGCCACCAGACAGCTACTTCGTAGACGCACCCAGAGAGCCTCGTTCCACCTTGGAGAGTCTCAAAACCGCGGCAGTGGGTATTCATGTAAGTGGATATGCCAGTGACTAACCATCTCTGTTTTCTTTTGTTATGTCCTTGACGATTCTCCCATTCTGACAACTTCCAGGGGGTCGGGGAAACACTCCGCGGAACTCTCAATGACACAGTAGACCGCCGGTTCGGCAACAACCAGCAAGCACGAGACAAGAATCAGGCCGCCATCGACGCCGGACGGTTCGAAATAGAGCAACGGCGCCTCTATAGGGCAGAGGACACGCGACAGGCTCAGGAGCAGCAGGAGAGAGCCCTGGAGCAGCAGCAACAACTCCAACCGGGGTCCGCCAAAATGACAGCAGACGGTGCAGATCGCGCTAGCTGGGGAACCTTTGGTGCCCCTGATGGAGACAACGGAGCAAGTAGCAGGCTTGGAAAGTTATTTGGCAGGCCTACATCACAAATTTCAGTGAACAAGCCCGTTCAGGCTGAGCCACCCAAAGAAAGGACCAGACTGCGCAAGAGGAGCAGTTCCGCACTTGGCGTGGTCCAGGAGTAAGAACTGTTTTTCATTCGGGCCACAGTGTACTGAATCCAGGCATCTATGGATGAGATTTTTGCAGGCCTGGGAACGCAAATGAAGCTGGGTCGATGTGATAGTTGGGACGGCCTCCAAAGGGCACCTGGGCTTCCTGGGGGAGCGGGCTGCTAATAAAGCAGCGGTAATCTGACTTGAGCCGGCAACTAAATCTCAACAACTAGCAAAGCTTTTACTTCAAGTTGTGTGATATCTGTCAAGAAACAATATTCCTTTGCAAAGGATGTTCAAATCCACAACAGCGGATGTGGTCTACGACGATCACCTACGCTTTGTGGACTAATTGAATTGCTCACAGTGAGCCTGCCAACATGCTGTAAGCACCAGCGAAACTTTTCTCGTCGTGATACTAATTACATCGGACATAGATGCTCGCCAAGACTTGTACATCAGTCTAAGTGTCCATTGGTAGTAGTCACCTGTTCCCGCTTCTATTCCGTATACGTCCGAAGCCACACACGGTGGCAGTAGTTCAGGTGCACTGATCGTATTTTATGACTATTATTAGTATTTCGTGTTTTTTTTTCTTTCAAATTCCATGTCTTTGAATATTACTACTATATAAAGGTGCCGTGTATGGCTTTAGAGGAGCATGGAATGAAAACGAAACTAGTTGAAGTTCCTAGCACACGGTTTCCAAGCGTAAATTCATGCCTAGGTAGACTCACGGCTCTCCTGGAGTAGAATTCAAGATCCGAAAATTACTTATCACACACTTTCCAATTTACAAAATGGTATTGCAATGGGACAACTAAATGGGCCCACATAACTTCGTATCCTGTCAAGTCATAATTATAAGTTACCTAGGTATCACGCAGATCTAGCCTGCTTAATGTTATCAGGCGGCATCAACACTCCACTTGCAGTACCACTGGCAATGCCGGTACCGCCTAGGTATGCCTCCCTTCACCCCGGCGGAAGGTTACACAAAAAAAGGCCCGTGCCTAACGTTCATAGCACTGTCGCTAGCTCTATTTCACTGCATAGTTAGACCCAGCTCTTCGAGGAGTGAGAAATGGGGAGTCCCGTGATGTTTGGCCCCGAATTTGACAGCCCTTCTAGGCAGTGCTCCCGACACGTGCCGTGATGGATTGCGGTCGTGCTTTGTTGATCAGGTAGCGTTTGAGGGCGACATATTAAATCTTATCATTTGTGCGTACTGTACATAGCTCACAGTAGACATTATATCCAGTTCCAGCTCTCTCCTGGTTGTTTCCGGGTATTCATCCGTTTCGGCTCACCGTTCACATCCTCCCTCCAATTGCCGCCCGGCATGTCGCCTGGTAACTCGGCGATGAAATTTCTCGTCTCTATCTCGATCGGCTTCTCCTCGGTGGCGAGCTCCACCGGCTTGGTCGCATCGCCCGCCAACTCCGCCGCGTTGGAGTCCCCTGTTGCCATCTCGGCGACCGGGCTCGAGTCGATCTCCGCCATCCTGGATCCCCTAACGGTCCCGGCGATGGAGCGCGCTCCCGCATCCGTTAAGGGGCTGACTGGGTTGGGCGAATGCGGTCCCGAAGACATGGTGCTTACTGTGTCAGCGCTGGAGCCCAACTTGGGACTATGATTGTCTTTTTCGCCCATCTGCTGAAGCTCCGCCACTTGCTTCCTCTTCCTTGCCAGACGCCAGGTTAATATTGCTGTTAATAACAGCAACAGGAATACTCCGATTGAAACACATGTGGCGATTATAATTGATCCGCGGGAGAATGGTCCGGGCGCCTCTGAGACGTTCGTTCCGCCTTGCGTTGCCTGCGGGGTGGCTTCCTGCGTTATAGCCTCGGTCTGCACGATTGTCTGCCCCGGCACGGTCGGATTCGTCTCTAACATGCTCAAGTCTTCCGACCGCCACCTTACTTGTATCGCAAATGCCAGGTTTTCTGTCGTCGTGTACGCTGTGCCGGTTGTTACCTCGGGGTCCCTCAATGTCGTGGACGGCACTGTGGATATGCAGAGGCTGTAGCTCCATCCGACTCCCATCATCCCGGTTGAATAGCAGTTGTATCCGCTTGGACAACAAAGCCTCACTGACTCGCCCGGTTTCACGTCGCCTCCGAAGTATGGCCATGATTTTAACGACGCGTGCTCGTCTGTGAACGTTGAGAAGGTGGCAAGCGATGTCGTAAAGTCGCACGCTTGGGTGTAGCCCGAGGGGCAGATGCCCGGTGAGTAGTAGCCTATCTGCCAATTCCAGTAATTGTTGAAGTTCGGTGGCATGCAGATAGAGCTGTAAAGTGGAGGTGTCATAGCATCGTGCCATAATGATGAGGCACAAAAGTCTGGCGTTTGGAAGACTGTCGTTAGGGGGCCCGCCCCAGTGCCATACGTAGGTGTTGCCGTCGTAGGGTCATACGACGTGTCCGACGAAGTCGGCGTCGGCATCGGCGTCATCCTCAATTCCCAATGTGGGCCTTATCGCGGAGGGACAGACGGCAATCGCGGCCCTGGGACTGCGACTCGTGTGGCGGTGCGTTCTCGGGTTTATAATCTCGCCATGCGCTGGACGTCGAAGGTATGGAATCAAGATGCTTCTACGGGGCACCTGTCGCTTCACGCGGGTTGAGACGAGCACGACGTTGAATGGTTTTGGCGGTTTCGTGGAAGACGGAAGAGAATCGACGAAAACGTAGCCGGGCATGGAACCAGAAAGTCTAGAGATTGTGCCAAGCCACGCCGTGTCAAAAAAACACGAGACACCTAGAGCCTGGAAATGAACCGGGATGCGGGCGGTCGTGTACCGGGACGAGTCATGCATTAACATCGAAGTTCAGGGGCCCAACTTTACTATGCACGGTATTGTCGGGAACGGCGGACGGCCGGGAGATGCCAGATACGACGAGGTGGGCTGTGGCCTCCCCCGGATAATGTGGATCTGTCACCATCCTTGGCAACAGTTTGTCGTGAGATTTGACCAATGATGGCAGCATCCCACTCGGGATAAAGACCGTCGAGCACAGAAGCGAGGATCTGCTCGGAGCGGGTCTCGATCCGTGATGGATGCTAAAAACTATCGTAGGCAGAGCGCACGGCACAAATAGGAACCAAACATCCTTGAAGCATACCTAGGTGCTGAACTCTGTCAGGTTCAGTGTCTGCACATGTGTATCCTGGTCATCAAGTGAGTTGTTCCTAGGAGAGAGGACATCCCCGGCCCTCCTACCTGGGTGCCCTCCCTTTTTACCGAGCACACATGCAATAACGATGCCCCACAAGCACCGCCGGAAGTCAATCAGTGGACAAACTCAATTGCGCGCACGGACTTCGGTATTCTCAAATACATGGGTTTCCCTTATTTCTCCTTCTAATCGGTTAGAAACTATCCCTTAAAGTAGATATAAGGTCTAAGTATATAATAAATAATAATATAAATAGTTCTTTTTTAATATATTATATTATATATAAATTAAATAAAAGAAAATTATAAAATAATAATTAAAATATAATAATATTTTTAATATAAAAGTATTAAAAGTATTTTTTATTTTAATTAATTAATTAAATTTATTACTTATAATTAATAATAATTTAATTTAAATTTTATTATTAATATTATATTATAAAAAGTCTTTTTATTTTTTAAAACTTTATTTAATATAATTATTTTAATAATATATATAATAAAGATTCTAAGAAAACATTAAATAAGTAATAAACTACCTATTAAATAAACCTTCTACTAACAATAGTGCGAGGATTTATATAAGCCCTATATTAGGGTCATGGGCTGTCGCGAGAACCGTCTCACCCTATTAGTGAATGTTATTTGCAGCGTTTCTGCCATTATGGAGTGTGCATCAACATTACCAAGCTCAAACCCAGTTTCGCCATTTAATGCATATCTGAGGAAGCGCCGGGTGGCGGCGAGGCTAACACTCCATCTCGAGTTGATCAGTATTTCCTTGCCTTCACTGGAGCTGGATTACCGTAAGCACGCAGCCGATCACCCAAAGCGGAATAGTCTCCACACAGCGACCAGCTGAGTTCCAAGGTTTGCATTAAAGTTGGGTCAAAGGTGGAGTGATGGAGAAGTTTTGACAGTTGTGAAATCCTTATGAAAATGTTCTGTGAACATACCCAGGCATCTGATGTAAAAAGGGGTCCAAATGCATTATATACCTAGGGTTGTGGTTTCGCTTCTATTCCGTATACGTGTGGTTTCGCTTCTATTCCGTATATATCCGAGGACATACATGGCGCCTTCATACGGTGGTAAGCACTCTAGACCCAGCGCTTGGAAAGAATACGATATCGATAACAGCTTGAGTCGTTATAATACGATAGGTGCTTGTGGCCTCAGCCCTATTCCGTATACATCTAAAGCTATACACGGCGCCTTCATACTGCAGTAAATGCTCAAACCCTTAGCATTTAAAAGATGTATAATATCAATGACAGTGGTAAGAAAACAATGGCGCATGTGGCCATATATAATATATGCTGCGTGATTCACTGTGAACAAAATCGCTGGCCCACGTCAATTTCTCATCTCAATAGGAACACATACAAATTGGACACAGGCCAAGATCTCAGCATAATACGCTAATTGTCGATGGAACGCAAGGCTAAAACATCTACCCTGGTGTCACAATGACTGTATGACTAACTTCTTTCTATGTCTTCCTTTGTAGAGCATGGTTATTTGAGGTCAGGAGAAACATAGGGGTGTTCAAGACTGACTTCCATCCATAGATTGACTAGCCACTACTTACGGAGTGCTTATTCAGTATCTTTTCAAAAGCGAGTCAATGATTACCAAGAGATATTTGTGGACTGTGCATGTATAAGTTTGACAACACGAAAGAACGTGGGAAACATTCGTGCCAATCAACCAGAGCCCACTTCCCACTGCTAACAAATTCTGCATGCCAGCACAAAGAATAGAATGATCAAGGTCTTGTAATGTTTCCAGCAGAGTGCAAGACCTGTAACGTCACGCTGTGAAAATTCTACTGAAATGCAGGATATGTTTTGGGTATGTACAGCGAACCATACTGAGATGTTAAACATCTCCAGTGCTTTCACTGAGCTTTGCACACAAAGTTCACATCATAGCTAGTCCAGTACCTACTGCGTGACAAGATGCGGACTCTTCCAAACCGACGGAGAAATTTGAGCAGTCACAGTCTTAAAGGAGACACACGCTGTACGTGACGAAGCTTTGTTGGTACCAAGAGCTATTCCCTCCAGGGCATGCCCCACAAAAGAGAGCATAGACAATGTTCAAAGCCGCTGGAGATTTAGAGACTGAGTCTCTGAGATTCGTACTTGATTCACAGTCCTAGGATCTCGGAACACTCACTGTCACTGATGCGTACACGCCAAGTACTTTGGCAACCCTGGTTACTAGACCTGGTTACTAGGGGCAGTCATAACTTGGGACTGAAACGTGGTGTTGAATGGGCTAAACGAATTATCGAGAGAATGAGAAGGTACCTAGGTATAAAGTCCACGGATGGTCCTGTTCTATATCCAGGTAGCTAAGTTCTCATGCTGTACGAAGAGATGCCTGAGACTACAGTTCACACAAAATAGGATCGGCTATTCCAGATAATATAAACGTCAATTTGTCCTTTGATGTTGATGATCAATCTAAGTATCTACCATGTCGAAAGCCTGTGCACACATGCGTCCGTCTTTTGCGTTGGCTATAGTAATTCGTTTTGAACCAAGCTACCGAATAGCCACTTGCGAGAGTTCCGCGTCAAGAGTTCATGTGGAGGAAAAAAATGTACAAGCACTGGTTCTGTAAAAGAAAGAAAAAGAAGGAAAAAAGGCGAATCAAGTTGAGATAGATCGGCTCGTGTAGATTATTACACTTCACCAGGAGCCTTGATGTTCATGGGGGCTGGTTGGATGTTGGCGGTATCAATACCCATCTTTTAGTAATAAATGTTAGCTTCTTACTGAAAGTGCTGAAGGTTGCATTCTGGAACACCCCAAAACAAAAACGAGAGTCCATGAAAACAGGTACTTACAGTGATGTATGCGATCATGCCATTCTTGGGATCGACGCCGTCGGCAGGAATAACATCGAAAACTGGGTTCCAGCCATTCTCCAAGCCGTCTGGGAAGAACTGGTCCACGTCGTTGGTGACACGAGGGGTCTGGGTGTGGCTCACGTAGGGCTCCAGGGCCATCAATTCTGCCGACAGTGCCTCAGGAAAGTAAAGCTGGCCGGTGCTGACAAGATTCCCAGAGCTTATGGTGCCATTGGGGAAGAGAGTGTAGTCCGTGTACACCTGGCTGTGGACGTGGAGGCTGCGGCCCGCATAGAAACCCGGGAAGACTGTCTTCATCTCCATCACACCCTCATGGTTGGTCGGATACATCCCGCGCAGGAACGTCGTGTCGTCCGTGTGGATGTCAGTCACACCGTAAACCATGTCGGCCCTGGTCATGTTGAGGCTCGTCAGGAGATCGCCAAAGAGTAGGTTTGGATCCAAAGCGGTGAAGGACGAGTAGGAACCCGTGGCGTTAGCGTGCCAGAGGCTCACCATCACGTCCGTAAGCGGCTCGCAAGTAGCCATGTCAAGAACTCCAATGTCCATCAGGAGAGGGACACCTGGCTGGTCCTCACTCATCTAAAAGATTGCGTGCTGTTAGTCATTGCCATTGACATTGCCATGCGAGGAGCCGGCCGAAATGGCAGAGTGGGATGTCCTCCGCGCGTGGGTTGTATTCCACTCACATCAGTCCTCAGAAGCTCAGACTGGGGCCAGACATAGGGCCCTTGGATGATATCCGGCACCTGGATGCAGGTCGTGTTCTGAATGACATCGTAGTAGGGCTTTGCCTCGGGAATGGTCGTATTAGACCAATCGATCTGACGTTTCGCCATGCGGTTGGCGTGACGCTTCTTGTTGAGTTTGGCAATGGCGGGCTCGCATCTCTTGGAAAGCGCGGCTCTACGCTCAATCTCGCGGCGAGTCAAACGTTCCTCGGGATGAGCCAGGGCGAGTCCAGACAGAAGGCCAGCGGAGGCGACGAAAGCGGTGAACTTCATCTTGGGAGATGGTAAAGAATGTGGTTGGGAGATAGCGAATGAAAAGTTGAAAGTGACAGGACAGCTTCTTATGTAACGAAGATGATGGGCTTGAAAGGGCGATGGTGAGTGGGTTGGAGGTCTTCTCACTGATCATGGTGCTGTGGAATTCTTGGGGCATTTATATTCAGTGACGATGGAGTGCCAAAATATCAACACAACCCCTGCCTACGATCTGCGAGGTAAGTGCAAGGGTATATTTCCAGATTCTCCAGAATGAATACTCCTATTAGTGGTCGATTCGGAATAGCTATAATTATGCCCATGGTTGACCCAGGGTCGGCGGCCGGTTATGGGTTTAGCCGTCTGTATCGCCACATACCTAGGTACTGTTACCCTCATGTATCCATCTCTGCCTAGCTACCTAGGTAGGCAGGTAGGGAACACGGGATACGCGTATACCAGAAGCCGCTGCAGACAGAGATAGATGTCGAACCAAGGTAGCTGGCAGTGTGACGCGTAAGTCTTCCAATGAAGACTCCCGAATTTGAAATGTAACCCGCTCTCAAGCAGCATTTGGTGGAGACGTACGCGTAAGATGCGAAAAATGCTTGGTAAGGTCCATGGAATATGTGCCGGTTGTACTCCGGGGTGCTCAGTAATAAGGGGTAAAGCCAAGACAAGATATATTCTAAAGCGGATACCTTGTTGCAGCAGTTGGTAGTGATCGGCATGCAGAGAAGGTTTCGAGGGGGCTTGGCCTAGACTGCTTTTCGAGCATGTCCCGGGCAGCCAGGGCACTAGCAACGACATGGAAGGTGACATGGGAGTTTGACAGGCGGACGGCTGAGTCCGGCTTGTGGACCAGGTGCAAGGCCAAACATTGTGATTTCTGATATCCAACTCCATGGACTCAGGAGCTGTGCCATCAAGCGCTGGTACATGTACCTGTACTCCGTAATTGATTACTCATTTCTGGCATACTGGGGTTCTCACGTATGAATCATGACGTGGCTAGGAAGAATGTTGACCATTTAGGATATGAATGCCAGGCTCAGCGAGAGCTTCACTGTACACTGATGACATCCTCGGTCTCGAAATGTAGACAATCGACATCCGAGCCCACGTGGAAGCTCGATTGCAATTCTACATATGTACTTCACTTTCAAGGTGTGTACAAACTCAGCGAGTACCGGCACGTCAGCTTCACCATTTCCCAGTGCTGTAGGTTATGAGAGTCCTTTCTCCACTGTCCTCGATCCGCCATTACTCCATTGTTGACGTCTCTCTATATCCTCGGGAACTGCGCCCCATACTACACTAGGCAGGGTTGGGGCTTGTGTGCGCGTGCATCTTCAGACGGCCCCACATTTCAATCGGTGCATACTGCGTATGCATGTGCTACTCCTTTTCCCGATTGAGCATGAAAATAGAGAACACCTGTCTCCATAATTCAGACAATATGTTTTGAAACTGGAAAACGCCAAGAATCGGCCCAACCGCTGCGTAAAGATTATTCCGGCATAGGGCGGCCGATCCAGTTGGTGACATAGCGCGCCGCGAGTGACGTCCCGTCGTTACATCATGCGCGAGCATGAAAATTGAATCTCCGCCCACGGCGACCGCCGGCCACATGGTATACTATGCAGTAGACACACAACACCTCGCGGGCGTCCAGACGCAAGTATCCTAGCTCCTCCGAAATTCAAGCATGGGAGACGGCCAAATGCGAGCTGCAGCGGCAACATAGAAACAGTTTTGACGACCAATTCTGGTGAGCAAGGCGGCATCATTAACGCAGGGCTACTACTCATTGATGTAGTGGAGTGACCACAACATTGCAAGGATGCCCATGTTTTGCCCCGGGGTCAGCTTTTGCAAACTTGCATGCGCTTTGCGGAGGGGAAAGGGGGCTTGCTTATTACATGGCCTGTCTCCGCACACATCACAGACAACCTACTTAGTAGTAATGGATAACACCCTTCGTTACAATATCTCCCGCCCTGCGACATTTACAGGTTTGTGTGCTTGTGTGCTTGTATGCTTGTATACTTATATACTTATATACTTATATACTTATATACTTATATACTTATATACTTATATACTTATATATTTATATACTTATATACTTATATATTTATATACTTATATACTTATATGCTTATATGTTTATATACTTATATACTTATATACTTGTATGCTTATATACTTATATACTTATATATTTATATGCTTATATGCTTATATGTATATGTTTATATACTTATATACTTATATGCTTATATGCTTATATACTTATATGCTTATATACTTATATATTTATATGCTTATATGTTTATATACTTATATACTTGTATACTTATATGCTTATATACTTATATACTTATATACTTATATATTTATATACTTATATGCTTATATACTTATATACTTATATACTTATATACTTATATACTTATATACTTATATATTTTATATACTTATATACTTATATACTTATATACTTATATACTTATATATTTTATATACTTATATGCTTATATACTTGTATTATTGATGCTTGTATGCTTGTATGTGCGTGTGCGTGTGTAGGTACATTTAAATAAGAGGGTTTTCCGCATCCCTCGCAGATTGTATTAGGGTACCTAGGTAAATATTGTACTGATCCCAATTTCCTGTCCTTTCTGCCATGCAACAATACCCTACAGCAAGAGCAGTCGTGAGTAAGTCGCTGCTTTAAATGGCTACCACAGCTTAATGCAATAGTGGCGGTGAACATTTACGAATAGACATAACAGTAGGGCGTCAACCCCATCGGGTCCGCTGTTTCCCCAACGGTGATAGAGTCCCCGACGGCGCCGAAACTCATGACCGTGGTGTTGTCTACCTCAGGAGTCACGCCCGGTGGGTTGAAAATGGTGCTGGTACCATTGTACGTGTACCTTAGTTCTGGGTGCCTATCTTGCCAGCCCGCCCATAAGCGATCGATCTCTATATAGCATTAGGAGTCAGCCGTCAAAGAACTGAAGACATCTGGAAGTAGCTTCACAGAGATATGGCAAGGAGCGGGCCACAGTGTGGTCATAACCTGTCTCAAGACCTGAAATCTGTGAAGTTTTTGTTATATGGAACGGAGGTGGGAATGGTTTTCGTTAAAGGGGTAAACATGTACATGTGGTGTCCAGAAGCTTGGAAGGTGCTTACGCGAGTGATGCAGGAAAAACGCCGGATCCTGCGAGCTAGCAAAGAAGTCGGACGCGGTCCCACCCACTGCGAAATGGCCCGCGCCATGAATGCCTGGTGGTGACGTTAGCCATGCAACGGATTCTAAAGCACTGCGGGCTGGAACGTTTCCAAAGTTGAAGATGGGGACCCGTGTTAGGGGAATAGTGATGCTTACCTCGGACGACGAAGCCGTTCAGTATGCCTGCGCCATTGAACCACCGCAGGACCGTGTAAATATCTGGGGAGGCGAGAAGGGAGTCGATATTGGACTGGTTGTTGTTTTCCTGGAGGGCCTCGTTCCGGAACTGGCGTTGGATACACCCGGGCTTCGATTCCTGCCAGTCGGTCGGCAGGGTGATGTTCAGGGTCACTCTGGAGGTGAACGGTCCGAAGTTGATGGTGGAATTCGAGAAGGGGCCTTTCTCTATGCACAGGTCGGTGGCACGGCCGTTGCTCCCCAGTGAGGTGTGGCTGCCGTCGAAGATGGGGCTGTCTGCCAGGCTTGGGTACAGCGGATAGTCCCAGTAAGGTATTCCAAGTGATTTCGGATACCCACAGTCCTGCTGGAGAGCTTGCTCGACTAGGTAGAGGAAGTGACGGTGCCAAGGGAGCAGAAGGCCGGACAGGTGGATGTTGAGCGATTGGTTAATGTGAGTTGCTGTGAAGTCAAGCCAGCGGCTAGTTGCGGCCGGGACAACCCCGGTTGGATATTGAGAGGGCAACCGCATCAAACACTGAACTCCATGAATGTAAGACAGCTTCTCGTGGTCAGCCATGCTGCCATACTCCTTGCGTTGTATAGCGGTGTCTGGTGTGCACGTCGCGGGTCTGTACTCCTGTACGCGACCGTGCTGGACCTCTGCCGTAACATGGGCAGCAACCGCAATTATACTGGTCAAAGATAATGCTGGCTTCATTATGTAGTAGGGATCAGCCTTTCTGATTGCAATGATGAGAACATTCTCATCCCAACTATTGACAAACTGCGGCCAAGAGCCCTTTTATAGACGCCTGTCGCCCCATGAACTATTGAGGTTATGTACAAGTAGCCGTGTAAATGAGTTTGTCTGTATGCTGCCTACAATGCGGTAGGTGCCTTGGCTGACCTTGCAGTAATAGATCCAGATGGCTTGGCAGGGAAAGCTTGTCAAGCCGCCCTACAGAAACGAGTTAGGGTATGAGCTTGCACGGGAACTCTTCGGACTTCCGGTAATGTGCCGGTACATCGACTTACGGAAAGGCACATAACAGTAGCCACACCAGGTAGTGACTTGCCTTCCTAGTAGGTTTTCAGTAGAGCTAGTTCCTGCGGAACTTCAACATGAACAACTTTATTCTCACTTGTGCAACTGCAGAGATTCGGACACAGCTTACGAATCCATAACATATCTGAATTCTTCACCTTGGCCGGATCCTCAATGTAAAGTCCATTGCCCGCTCGAGAGCCAATCCAGTTGAGTGTCTATCAGGCAGCTGCTTGGAAAGCGGTTGAATAGGTGGGGGATCCAGGCCGCTGAGGAAAAGCGCAATTGTTTTGCCGAACCAGGGCGTGCAGAAGATCTTCTTGCCGGAGCTGTTGCGAGGAGTACAAGCACTTGTGGTGAGCCACACTTTGTAGGTGGGCACGCGCGATCACGGAACAGCGTAACACACCATCAACGAAATCACATTTGTCACGCGAAGCCAAGGCGAGGACTTTTGCGCACGAAAGTCCCCGCATTCCCGTCATTTCCTGGGCCCTGGAACCTTTTTCGTTCCTGTGTGACAGTGTATCCGTGCTTCCGGGTCTAGCAAAGGCCTGCTGGGCTGCCACATCTGAAGCCAATACGACTAAATGTGCTATTTAGATGAGGTTGTCTCAGACACACTTGGCGAATCTGTAACTTCCACAGTGATCTGAGTCGTTGCGGTGATCGAGCTGAATCTTCCCTGCCGACCCTGCCATTGATCCCCAAACCTCTCGTAAGTCTTGTGGATCACGTCTGTGAACATGGCCTCTGTCTTCCTCCGAATGATTTTCCCGATGGGCGTTCGAGCGAAGGATGCATGTGGTACCAACGCCACATGTGTCCGCGTGATAGTTGCATGCGCCGGCATGTTAGCGTTGGCTGGCTCTATCACAGATTCCCATATGTCTTCTTTCAGAGCGGTGGTAGCATCGACGCTTTCGGCGACTTCGATTAAGGCGAGCGGCTGTCGGCGCTGGTTACCCACGATCATGACGCCCGCCACCTTGGGGTGCGCGCCAATCGCCCTCTCAATCGGCCCGGGGTGCTAGTATGTGTCAGTGACCTAGGACGGTATTCAAAGCGATACGTACTGGGACATTCCAGAGCGTGAAGACTTTGGGCTTAGTAAAAGGAGAAGGGTGGTGCTGACGATGTTCGATGCCGTGGACAAGGTGAATGTGTCGTCCGTACGACCGACAAATTTAAAAACAAATTTGGATTTTGTTGGGTCTGGATGAGGGGTAAACAAGTCCCCAGGCCGATATTCCGGATACGGGGGCTCTGTGTTTTCTGGCGTGATACCCTGGCGTACGTGCCAGCTCGCATAGGGGGCTGTGTACTCGTTCATGGTGAGCACTATCTCGTAAAGATCCTTCTGTGAACCGTTCTCATCAAAGAACTCAGCTTCCGACTTCCGAAATTCGACACCGGTATGCACGGTGTCAAAGTAGACGTAGGGCCAGTCCTCATTGTCCCCATTTACAATGCCTGCGGCCATGGCCTCAGTGCAGCCCCAACCATTCTGTGTAGGAGTCAGCCGATTCCTTCCCGTGAAACGTCACTGCCTCTTCAAAGATGGCGTAGAAATTGCGAGCGTCGCACCGGCATCTGACACTTACCTGGATATGGGTGTATTTCGCCCAAATCCCACTGGCGAGGGGCGACAGCACGGCTGAAGGCACGAGGTTCAGCCACCATGTAATGCAATATCAACTCGAAATTCGTGGACTTACCGCCACCAAATAACACAGAATCAAATGGTTTGATGTATCGTTCTGGGTTGGGCTTGCGAGCGACATCTTCCATCATCCAAGGCGTAAGGGCGGCTTTGGTCACCTTGGCAAACTCCAAGTACTCGCGAATATCGCCGGTGGTTATGGCCCGGTGTCTGAAGCCAGGGCAAAACGTGCCCTCCCCAAACACGCTCATCGGGAGGGCACAGGTAGCTGACATTGCGTGGAATGGCGCTGAAGTGAGCAGGAATCTCGTCCCGCTGCCAGGGTACATGAGATCAATGAAGTGTTCGCGTCCGTAAACATCCGGCAGGAAGAGGTAGGTCCATGCATTGCCGTAGAAAAGGTGTTTGTATTCAACCGGCTTCGGATCCCCTGTTGTCCCACTGTATGCAATCCCTGTCAGCCAGTGTAACGACCCGTTTGCCCAACGGAACTGACCTCGAATGGAGAACCATGTATGGATCGAGCTTGCCCTCCTCCCATGTCTTGTTGAATGGATACGGCGCAGCTTGGTCCTCCAGATTCAACAGGTCGTCCAGTTCCGCTATTAAAGCGTGCTTGACCGGGTGTGCCCTCAGAATATCGTCAACTAGAGCGCCGTTGGCCGACAGCAGTGCAACACACTGGGTCTTCCTCATTAACGAAGCGTGAACGTTCGTGCTGTTAAGCGGAGAGCTTAACAGGACCTTGTAGCCAGCTTTTACTGCCGCCATCTGGACGACATGATACCTCACATCAGGCACGCCTAGATAAGCAAAGGTTTCAAACGTGGATGATGGCCCGAACGCGGCCGCGATTGTATGTGCCACCTTGTTGATGGCGCTGGCTAGAGCCGCGAAAGTGACATCCTCGAAGCCCTGCGCCAGGTCCCAGTCGTCCACGGGGAGTGATGCCCAAGTCCGTTGTGGCTCCCTACTTGCTATCTCGTCTATAGCCACAGGAAGGAGCTTCTTGCAGTAGTCTCGGGGAGGGTTTGGGCGTCCCATTTCTGGTTATCGAAGTAGCACGGTTCACAACGAGTCCCGGCCGCGGCGTGAATGATCACCCACTTTCTGCCAGTGGCGGTTGCTGATTATGATCTGATCCAAAGATGCGTCAAGTCACCTTGAAAAGTTACGTTCTGAAATCCGGGCAGCCGGGGACGGGCGATTTAATACAGCCGGCCTGCCTGTACCCGAGAGAGTGGATGATGTGGATGGGATCGGAGCTCCTGGGAATCGGTCGGGATATGATGCCTGTTCGGACACTGTACAAGTACTCAAGTGCCAAGGGGGGGGCATGATACGCACGCAGCAGAGGCACAGTGGCAAGTCGGCGCATTTGTCTTGTGGTATCGGGGCTAAATCCGCCCTTAAGCACGTCCAGGGATCCGAAACGTTCTAACTGGTACAGCCCAGGCTATTCCGTGGGGTTAAGTTGCGCTCCACTTGGCCAGAACCTTGCCGGGTCAGGAAGGTCTGTTGATGTCAATTTCGATCCTCTGTCGAGGACCACTGGCACCCTTGCAACTTTGTGCCTTGCAGAGGGAGAATCAGCCCAGAAGCAGACTCGGTCAAAACTCATCCTGCTGGAACGCGCAGTCCAAGGTCACTTGGGCTGGGACATGTTTCGACAAGACTAGCCTCTTTGAACTGAGATCGGAAATCCATTCGGCGTCTGTCCACTCTGTACCCACTGTACCTAGGTATGCAAGGCGCCCTCTCCACTACTAGTTGTCTTATTGGCCCGGGGAGAAGTTCCCGGGAAAGCGATGGGACGATGACACGGCCAGCACGGATGGCTGAATGTCCTACTGTGGTATACCCTAGAAATAAAATCCCCCTTCCAGGTCACTCAGAGCCCTATACTACCGATCCCTCCCTATTATATATATAAATCCACAATACCAAGCTCCCATTAAGCCTATATAGATAATATTACTCAATTAGATACTATTAGCTACTTCTAGTAAGAGGATTTTACTTATATAGGCTCACTAAAGTAATATTTTACTTATCTTCCCCTATTATAATGTAAATAACCCCTTTACATTAATAACATCTTTATAATACTCTAATATACTAACTAATAAGTTACTAATAAATTCCTTATTAATTAAGTTCTAAGTTTTTTATATTTATAATTAAAATTAATTATATAATAATTAGTTTATATAACTATAATTCTACTTAATATAATCCTTTATATAGCATTAAACTATCTTAATAAAGTTAAAATTAAAGCTAAAAGGTAGTTACTCTATTATAGTCACTCCTCTTTTATATAAATCCTTTAATATTCCCTAAACTAAATAAGTATTAACACTATCTTACATAAAGATTAACTCCTTACTATCTTACTTATACATTCTAATCCAACCATTAATCAAAAAAATAATATACTAATAATAGAAATCCTCCTTAATTATATCTCAATCCTTCTTCTAAAAGAGATATAATCCCTTCTAATAGCCTAATAGCCCTAAAAAGTAGGCCTAAAATATCTAACCACCCTTCTTTTACCAATAAGCAATAATATAATACTTATTCTAAGTCTTATTAACTTTATATATAACATACTACTTATAATAAAGCCCTTTAATTACCTAAGTCTCATTAATTTAAAAGACTTTAAACTACTACTTAACAATCTAATCCTTATAGACTTTAATTTAAGTTAGGTAAGCCTAATAATTCTTCTCACTAATAAGTAGCTTTCTTCTAGCAATATAGTGCTTATAGCTAAAATATTAAAAAATTAACTATATATAATAGAAACTAACTTAAATATATATAATTATAAAAAAGGTAACTACTAGGGTAGCCTATAAGGCCTAACAACCTATCTTAAAGCCAGTAATATAATAAATAAAGTCCTTAACTTATATAATAGTAAAAATAAATAATTAATTATAAAAATTCTAATAAATATTATTATCCTTTAAGTAAATAATATAGTAAATTTAAAAGGGTATAAATTACTTCTTAAAGTAGTAAAAGATCTTAATTTAAAATAATTTACTCTTATAATAAAGATTATAAATAAACTTCTTCTAATTAGAGACTAATTACCTAATCAATACACCCTTTAATTAAGCTATTATATATATAATAAAATATAACAATAACCTCTAAAAGAAAAATTTTAATTAATTAAATATAATAAAAAGGAAAATTACTTTTTTTTAATAAATAGGTTAAAAACATTATACTACACTATAATTAATATAAATAGAAATACTATAAGGTGGGAAGGTATAAAACTAGGGGGTAAAAATTACGCCCTTAACTACAGTAGGCTGAAAGCTCCACGGCCCGACGCGTGGCGTCGCATCGGGGGTTGAACGCAATACATCTAGTGCCTGTCACCGGATAAAAACCCTATGGGTCCGATTTCGCTTCGCAATCTACTTAGTAGTATTCCTTCAATGCATAACGTTAGACTTCAGAGCACTTCATCCTAATAAGATAAACTAAGGTATATTATTATATTCCCTCCTTAATATAAGGCTAAAAGACTTATAATTATAATTTTTTAATTAATTTTTAATTAATTATTTTATTTTATTATAATTTAATTTAATTTTTAATTTAATTTAATTTTTAATTTAATTTTTAATTTAATTTAATTTTTAATTTAATTTAATTTTTTAAACTTTATAAATATTTTTATTTTTATAAATATAAACTTTAAATTAAACTTTTAAGTTTAAATTTAAAGTTTTATAAATTTTAATATATTTTAAATGAAACTTATAATTTTTAATTTCTTTAAAAATATATTAACTATTATAAATATTAATAACTTTTTAAAAATAATTATTTATTTATTAATAAATAATTAAAATTATAAATTTAAATATAATATATAATAATAAAATATCCTTTTAAATATAAAGTTAAAAGATTTAAAATTATAAAATTTTAATTAATTTTTATTTAATTATTTTATTATATTATAATTTAATTTAATCTTTAATTTAATTTAAGTCTCTCTTTAAATCTTTTAATCTTTTATTTTTAAAAGTTAAAACTTTATATTTTTAAGTTTAAATTTAAGATTTTTATAAATTTTAATATATTTTAAATTAAGTTTATAATCTTTTAACTTTTTAAAAATATATTAATTATTTTAAATATTAATAACTTCTTTTAAAATAAAGATTTATTTTTATATAATTATAAATTTAATTATTAATAATTATTTCTTTTATAAAGTTATTAAAAGTTTAAATTTAAATAATAAAATATATAATTACTTTATTTAAAGGTTATATTTTAATTTAATAAAATATAATAAGTTAAATAAATACTTTTAAATAATTTTATTTATAAAGTTAATAATCTTTTAAGTTTATTAAATAAATATTTATTTAAATAGATTTAAATTTTAATTAAAAGAATAATAACTTTATTTCTACTTATTTTAATTAATTTATATTTATATTTAAATTATATAATAAATTTTAATAATTATATATAATACTTATTAATATTAAACTAAATAGCTTATAATTTATAATAACTTTAACTTTTAATAAATTAATTTATATTAAAGTTAATAATATTAACTTAAATTAATATAACTTAATATATTAATATAAAAATATTTTTAATAATAAATAATATTATTAATAATTATAAAGTTATTATAAAAACTTTATATAGTAAATTTAATTAAATTAATCTTTAAAATATATTATATTATATTTTTAAAACTTTAATTATTTACTTTTATTTTATAATAAAATTAATAAAATATAAATAATTTATAATAATAAAATATAATTATTTTATTTAAAATTATATTTTAATTTAATAATATAATAAATTAAATAATTATTTTTAAATAATTTTATTTATAATATAATAAAATTAATAAATAAATATTTATTTAAATAAAGTTAAAACTTTAATTAAAAAATAATAATTTTATTTTTATTTAAATTAATTAATTTTATTTTTATTTATATTAATTAATTTTATTTTTATTTATATTAATTAATTTTATTTTTATTTATATTAATTAATTTTATATATAATATTTAATAATATTAAAATTAATTTATAATTTATAATAACTTTAGTTTTAATAAATTAATTTATATTAAAGTTAATAATATTAATTTAAATTAATTTATAATAATATATTAATATAATAAATACTTTTAATAATAAATTATTAAATTATTATAAAAGTTTTATATAATAAATTTAATTAAAATTAATTTTTAAAAATATATTATATTTTTAAAACTTTAATTATTTATTTTTATTAAATAATAAAATTAAAAATATAAATAATTAATATAAATAAAACTTATAATTTTTTATTTTTAAAAATATATTAATTATTTTAAATATTAATAATTTTTTTAAAATAAAATTTACTTTTATATAATTATAAATTTAATTATTAATAATTATTTATTTTTTATTTATAATAATATTATTAAAACTATAAATTTAAATATTATATATAATAATAAAATATAATTATTTTTAAATAGTTTTATTTAATAAATATTTATTTAAATATAATTAAAACTTTAATTAAAGAAATAATTACTTTATTTTTATTTATTTTAATAAATTAATTTAACTTATATAATAAATTTAATATTTTATATTATATTATTTATTACTATTAAATTTAATATTTTATAATTTATAATATTTTAACTTTTAATATATTAATAATATTATAATATATTAATAATATTAATTAAAATTAATTAAATATAACTTAATATATTAATATAAAAATATTTTTAATAATAAATAATATTATAAATAATAATAATAAATTATAAAGTTATTATAAAATATTTTATATAATAAATTAAATTAAATTAATATTTAAAAATATATTTTATTTTATTTTTTATAACTTTAATTATTAAACTTTAATTTAATAATAAAATTAAAAGTAAAAATAATTTAAAAGATTTAATTTTATTATATAATATTTTTATAATATTTTAATTAATAATATTATTATTTATAAAATTAAAAATATAAATATTTATAATTTTATAATTATTTCTATTAATATATTTATTAAAATATTAGATTTTAAATATTTATTATAATATAAATATATTATATATATTAATAAATATAAAATTATATAATTTAAATATAAAAGTTATTTAATTATTTAATTATTTATTTTTTATAATAATATTATAATTATTTATAAATTAATTATATTTTTAATTTTATTCTTTAATTAAAAATAAATAATTAAAATCTTAAAAATATAATATAAAGTTTTTATAATAATTATATAATAAAATATTATAAATAAAGTTAATAAATATAATTTTAAAACTTTATTTTTAAAAGTTTTAATAATTTTAAAATTTTATATTTTAATTAATTAATATTTATATTATTTATTATAAAACATTTTAAAATAATATATAATCTTAAAAGTAATTAATATATAATTTTACTTCTATTTTATATATATTTAAAAATATATATAATACTTTATATAATAATAAATATTTAAAATTTAATATTTAAAATAATATAATATTAATAATAATAGTTATAATATAATAAATATTTATAATTTTAACTTTATAATATATAAATAAAGTTAAAAGGTATTATTTTAATAATAATATTAATTAAAATATTATAAAAGTTATATAATAAAATTAAATCTTTAAAAATAATTATTATATAAATAAATTATATTAAAAACTTAATTAAAATTATCTTTTAAATATATATATATATATATATTAATAAAACCTTTATTAAGTAAATATTATAACCTTTATTTAAATATATAATTATTAACTTTAAAAACTTAAAATAAAGAAATAAGTTATAATATACTACCTTTATAACTTTTATAATTAAATATTAAAACTTTTAAAAAGTTTTAAAAATAATTTATAAAAATAAAAAAGTATAATAAACTTATCTTTCTTTAAATCTATATTTTTATTATTAATTACTATTAACTTTTAATAATATAAAAAAGTATAATAAAAATAAAAAAAATAAATAAATTTAAAGTTCCTTTATAAAAGAATTATAAGGATATATATAAAGTTATTAAAAACTTTATATATAAACTTTAAACTATTAAAAAAGAAATAAATAGTTAAATTAAAAAATAATTATATAATATAAAGAAAAAATATAGTATAGTTAAAGTTAAGTTATTAATATAAAGTAGTCTATAATCCTAGTTTAGAAACTCAATATACTATTTTACTAATAATCGAGTTCTAACGTGAAAACCACGTTAATGAGTACAGCTTGCTTCAAAGGTGTTCAGACTTATTTAAGTAGAACATCGGACACTTTGTCTGCTCAGAGCACCCAAGCAAGCTCAACTTGAAGTTGAGTTCATTGCCGTTCGGCTTCACTCTCCAATATTCTACATGAAAACCAGTGCATTGAGACAACTGCTAGTAGATATAAATCTCGCTGTGAAACCTTCTTCACTAGGTTGCTTGGACAGAGGCCCGATATTAATAGAGTGCCTAGTAAGTTGCCCACAAGCTCGCATGAGATGGAGCAAAATACTAACTCTATGGATGCCTTAGTCCTGCAGATTGATCACCTTCCCTGAATTCCCAAGTTCCTGAAACCGGATTGAAAGACCAGCACGGTGTCGGCAAAGATCCTCCGACAACAAGAGTTTCATTAGGTACAGTTGTATCTCGTGTCACTCACAAGGGCGTCGTCAGGTAGCCACTGGGTCAAGCTCGCTGGCACTGCTTTCCTTCCATGGATTTTCTTTCTCAACCTTTCTTATCAAGCCCTCATGCTCAGGGCTTCTAGGCTTAATGCTTGCCTGAAATGGCTCAGCATGACTGAGGATGCCTGCTGAGAATTTGACAGCCGGCTGAATCTCATTACCAGCGTCATCACGGAATTTCGAAATGTCGAACACAGCGAGTGATCGAGCAACTGTGAGCCATACGGATGCGTCCGCGAGCATCTTCCCAGGGCAAGAACGCCTGCCAAACCCGAAAACATAGCTATATGGATCTGGTGCGGGGCTAGGTCCGAGAAATCGCGATGGGTCAAAGATCTCTGGCTTTGCATACACTGATGGATCATGAGTGAACCACCTAAGAAAATCATAGGTCAGTTTTGCTTGCTAGCTTTCCCCGAGGCGTGAGGAGTAATCTTGGGTTCCAGGGAGGATGCGCAAGAAGATAGTATTGAAAGCGAGCAGCTTCGGCACTAACCAGATATTCGGGACAATTATCGCGTCCTTTGGGATCAAGTAACCTTCGTAGAGGTCGTCCTCGGTGGCCAAATGAGGGAGCCCCATGGGCACGACGGGGTGAAAGCGAAATACCTCCTTGACAACAGCCTCGACATATGGGAGATTTCCGCGGTCCTCAACTGTCGGGAGGCGATTTTCTCCTATCACGCGGTCTATCTCCTCTCTCGCCTTGTGTTGCACTTCAGGATGCAATGCCATGGCCAGAAAGAACGTAGTGATGGAACTGACCGACTGTGGCACGAATCAGCTGATTGAAATCGAAGCTGGGCTGAAGACATTTTACCGTGTCAGCGCCACCGGTGTAAAGAGAAGCCGCGCTGTACTTCAAGACGTGTTCTTCCTCCGCGTTCAGTTTTCCACCCGCTCTCTCGTATATCGCAGACACATAAGATGTCTCGAACTCTTGTTCCTTCATCTTCTTTCTAACGAACTGCATAGGCCTCTCTGCGAGCTCATCCAGCGTTGCTTTCCACTTGATTGCCGTCTTTTGGAAGCCGGCTCCTGGAACCCAGCTGGGAATATGTCTCACTACAAGCCATTAGCGGGCTGTTGAGATAGTACTATAAATGCATAACTTACAAATTGGAATGGTATCGACCAGCCAAGCACCAGGGACCGTAGCTGCCGAAAATTGCAATAACGCCTCGTCTGCTATGTCGACAAGCGGGTCTCGCTTGTGCGGCTCGATTGTGTAACCGTAGGCCATCTTCAGTATGATTGCCCCGGCCTCGCTAGCACATAATATCCTCTTAGCTTTACAATATTTTACTAAATGGGGAAGGGACGGCACAGATCCGCATACGTCCTAATATGGTCCAATAGATTGGCAGGTTTGTTCAACACACGAAGTAAAAAGCGATGCACCTCGAGTTCTTGGAGGTCGTTGTAACGTGAAACGCCTGATTTTGTTCCAACTAGGGCATGAATAGGTTTTCGGTAGGCGCGTAAGCGGTCATTATAGAACTGGGTTGCGAGAAGGTCTCCCCAGCCACACATTTCATTGCCAAATATCAGATTCGGCCTGGATGAGTATATAGCAGAGCGCTTTTCTAGTAGTTCGAATGCCACCTGAGGTGAATTTAGCACAATAATCGTAGTCCCGAGGGCGGTGACGGAACTAATTGGTCCTGCAGATTGTCATTTGAGTCAGAAGCAACAGCAAGTGGACCACTGGCAGTATGTGTATCTAGGTAGAATGACCGCACTCACCATATCTACTCTTGTGTTCCAGCCAAAACTCCCACTCTCGAACACCAGTCCTTGGTAAGTCAGTGATGTTTCCCAATATTGGCCAAGGTTTTGGCCCCGGCGGCATTGGATGCGGCCCCTTCTTTCTGACCAGGAGCAGGATCCTAAAGGCCGCGTACGAGACAACCGCCAAGAGAAGGCTGCTCAGGATATCTGTCTTGAAAAACATGGCGTGACATTCGGATGTGAAAAGTTCGGGGAGACCTCGATATGCAAGAGAGCAGGCAGTTTGGTCACCAAGGAGAGTGTCTATTAAATACTCGCTTCGGCACTTGAGCAACGGACAGGGATGACGTGGAAATGATTTCAAACCCGGTACGCGCGCGATCGCGAAGTAACACCCTCAGTCCTATCGTTGTGCCGGAAGACACATTTGCGATGGTCGCTGCTGCACAAGTGCTTACACCTCCGGCAGCCGAGCAGCAGATTGCAACTTTCAGTAAGGCGTGTATGACGCCAAGGAGGGCGATCCACAGCTGCTGTCACTCAGTGCCTCGAGATAGTTGGTTGGACTCACTGGCCCTCGTGTGGTATTCTTCTTCACTGGTACTACTTGCCGTCTTTTGCAAGCCTTTCCTTCCCTGTACCCATCGCTGCTTCCATAGATTGCCCCTCTGTAGCTGCTGACAACTCTCCTGGCACCAGGATCTGACGGCCTTCTGCCACGTGAACTTCCTCGGGTTCCCCGGGTCTCGTCCGGCCTACTGTTCCAAACGCTCTTTGCAGTGCCGACTCCCATTGTCTCTGGATTCCTTCCTGAATATTTCTCTGCTGCTTGAACTGGAAACTGGAGTCCAAGGTTCGAAACTGCCGCACGAAGTCTCGTAGGCTATTCAGGGCCCCTATCTCAATCTTGAGCTTGAAGCTGTAGATAAAATCTTTGACTTTGATTTGCACATAGTTGTAGCCAAGATATTCTAGAACTAGGAGGAAGTTAGCCCAATTCTAACGAAATCGGCAGAGTACAATTGATCTGAGACACAACGACCATGCTGCAAAGCAGTCGAGCTCCAGCTTATATCGCCATGACACAGAGAATTTTGAATCATTCTGCTTACCGAGAATACTCAGATCCAAACAGAGAACGACCAGGTTTGCCAGGATAAGAGACCTTAGTGTGCTTTTCATCGCTGCGGTTTCTTCTGATTCCATCCTGCGTCCGTATTGCCTCAAGAAGTGCCTGCACCGCCATAGGTATAGCCCGGATAAAGTGATTTCCTGCACAAAAAACACGGTCACTTCTGTCCTCTCCATGATTTCGTAGGCTCTTTTTAATGATTCCGTCTGCAAGGCCCGCGCTAAGATATTTATCGAAAGGGCGCCGCCGTGCATTGTCAGACCGTTGAAGATAATCATTGTCAGGAGAGAAGTCATGATGCGGCTATCGACCCAAAGAAGGTGGAGCCGTGAGTAAAGGACGAGGGACTGGCCGGTAACCATTGGAATCCAGCCGATTGAGCCAAGCACCACCACAAACATGCCATTCGTGCTACCGAGGCTGAAGTCGATGACCTGTGCCACTGAGCAGACGATGACGCCTCCTGCAGCCACCATTAAGCTCCAAAAATAGAGGGTGCGCCTGTGCCTGAAGGTCCACCAAACGACGACGACGATCTCGCAGGAGTTCCATAGTCCTATGCCTGCCAGACACGCTAATGCAAACCACAGTCCCTTGGAGTCTTCCACAAGTGACGTCGAGTCTCGCCTTGCCAAGTTTGATGGATTTGGGCTCATGGGAGCGCTCGGTAGCAAGTCGAAAGGAGCAATATTCACCATGCTAAGAGCTCAGGGGTGGTCGAATATTTTGCGGGAGGGGCTGGGAATGCCGCCTCGAGAGTGATGTGCACTATACCACTGAAGGTGGAAGGAAGTGAGTTGATTTAAGCCACATTTCAGAACCGACATGGATTGCCACCAAGCATGTACTGGTACTAGAGCGCCCAGGGGAGCTTGTCACCACGGCTCTCATGAAGTCAGGTGGGGTGAGCTCGCCAGTCGAAAAGCGTCTGAGCGGGCTTGGAAGGTTTGTCCCAAGAGCAGACAGGGAAAATGTTCTGCGGCGAGCACGAAAATTAGACTTTGTAGCCTTCCTTGCAGACTGGTCCTCGACCAATTGCCTAGGGATTGGGCCATATCGTGACGTTCCAGAAGCCATCGGCATCCATGCTTCGTGCCCTATCAGCAACTCCACAATCCACTGAAGTGCTACCACTGTATGTACGTATTAGCCCTGCGGTAGGATCTACTGGGCCAACAAGTCAAACTTTAAGACGAGTGGCATGACTCGGTTCAGACTGGCGAATTGCTACGACTCATACACAATCGCAATTGCCCGACGGCCGTCCGTGGCGTAAACATCCAGGTTACGTGAGACAACTGACTAAGAACCAATAAATGTACGTATGCCGCATGAGTTCTCGGGGACTGCTTGTAAATGAGCCTCGGCAGCCGCTCAAACGCGCAAATCAGAGTTTGCTACAGGTCCCCAGGATTGCTGGCCCACTTGGACGGTCATACATTCTGATGAAAACATTTCGCTGTGAGGAATTGGTTTTCGGTTGATAGCCGACCGTGCAACGGCTCGGCACCGTGGGCCTACCGGTAGAAATCCGGGATCAGTGCGCAGCCGCTTCCGAGAAAGGGCTCTGACCCCCGAAGTCATTGCATGGTGCGAAGATGAGCCGAGGACAGTTCGAGCATAAGATGCCTTCGGTCTTCAGCGTTTACCACTGTATGAAGGCGCCGTGTATGTCCCCGGACGTATGCGGAATAACGGCGGAACCAGAACCAGAAAATGTTTAAAAGAAGTAAGTAGTTATAGTACTATCTGTATTTAGTTATAGTAATAGTGTGGTACTTGTAACTGCTAGGGAGTAGCTAATTGTTAGATTGATTATAATAGTCCTTTAGCCGGGCGGCAGAGTGTAGGACTTGGCAGTTGCGCTCCTATTGCAGTTATATATAGGCCAACCGTGCCTTCCAACATGAGTGAATACTCGTTACCTTCAGAGAGGAGTACCTAGACCCATATGCTCCTGCAGTGCCGCCAACAAGACCTCTTATAATCTCAAAAGATCGCTAGCGCGTTCGGCGGGGAGGCAATAAGCCCAGGGTGATTTAGTGGTGCTGATGTCAGCATGAATGAATACCGGCTTGTCTTCTTACAATAGGAGGAGAGCGCTTTCAAGTCCCACAACTCTCCTATGGGCATGCCAAATAGTGAAAGTAAATATTGGTGCAGAACTAAGAGCTTAGTCAATAGATACCTAGAGAGCGAGACTGCAGCTGGAAACTTACCTAAATCCTGCGGACCCCCTTCTGTACCATCCGGCTTGATCGGTGGATATGCCTCGAATGACTGGCTGTCGCCTGCTACAGCTGAGAAGTGCTTGTCCCAAATCCATTTGGCTGTGTCAGATGTCCCGTGCAACCCTGATAACTTCGCGGCCTTCATTTTATCCAAATCTTCCGCTGAAAGGTTCTCCCCTAAGCCAGCGCGTCAGCCTTTACTATTCTGACCGAACCCTAGGCTTCAAATGTTGAGCTTTTCCATGAAGTAGTAGTGCTAAATCTCGCCTTAGACAGTCCTAACTGACTGAGGGCTGAAAGCGAGGCTGGAACTGTTTCCCGGTTTGGGCGGGCGTGCCTTACAAATCTCTGTTGCTCCCGTTCTGATGATCAAAATATCGCCGCGGCGGAATCATACTGCCTGATGACGTGCAACCTTCTCTACGTCCTCAATAGTGATTCGATACCCATCGAAATAGTGATATGGTTTAGACTGAGACTCCATATACTCCTTGAAGTCGATAAGTACGCCCCGGCCTACAAGGCCCCCGCGAGAATGCTAGTGATCAATGGTGGGCTGCCCGTTCTCCATGGTTGTCTGAGGCGAGACGAGGTTCTCCTGGGTTGGCTTGATCCCATTGTATGCTAGACCAGAGGGTTGGTGTTGTACGTGGACCAGGCTATCCCACTGGCTGCTGAATTGCGTGTTGAACTCGAGCTCATCATCCCAGCCATGGGAACCAGGTGGCATCATCCCACTTGAGGAAAGGGACATGACCTTGTGAGCTGGCGATCTACGGCCGGGTAAGGGTATCTTGATGCCATTCAGAGGCCAACTTTGAAGAATAGTGAGTAGGGGCCACGTGTGGTGCTGCTCCATCCCATCTTGATATTTCCTTACTTGAGCGATATTGATACCCCCTCCTTGATCTCCGTTGCGGCTGACGCTACGATGTCGGGCGTCAGAAGATTGAGTGTGCCCAGCATATCCTTCTTGCCTTCCTTATCAAACACACCCCACGCACAGCCATTGGGCATGCCCTTTACCATGGGCAAATCATCGAAATTAGGTATGGCCATTTTGAAAAAGGAGGAATAATGCCCTGCACGTTTATTTGAGAGCTAAGAGAGTGGTGTAAGGTAGTCCCAGGACAGACTCAATAACCTCGGTAGTGCGAGGGCAAGCAAAGGGTCTGTGGTACTAAAGTATTTATTTTAGTGGAAAATGCCTGTAGTACGTCATCGGGGCTGTTTAGAACCCTAGCAGCCCCTCTTTTAGGGACTACTAGGATGGTTCGCTATACAAGTAACTTTCTAAAAACCTTAAAATATATAAGAACGGAAATTTGCGTACCTTTAATTGAAAGGTGTATATCCTTTCTACTATTTAATTAATTAAAGTATAGAACCTTAAAATCTTTATAACTTTAATAAATAAAGCTTCTTTATAATAAGGGATTATAAATAAAGTAAGTTAGTTTTTTAAGAACTTAAGTTATATTTATTAACTTTATTTATAACTCTTTACTATACTTTATACTTTAAGGCTTACTTTTTTTACTTTAATAAGCTCTTTTAAGAAGAAGTTATTTTATATAAAATACTTTTTAATTAGTAAATAAGTATATACTTTTAATTAAAAGTATATAAAGTTTTATTTTAAATATATTAAAATTATATTTATTTAATTAAACTTTTAAAGTTATATAATAAAATATATAAATATATATAATTAAAGTATATTATATATTATAAAGTTATTAATAAATTTATAAAAATATTAATTAATTAAAGTAATAAAAATATTAATAAATTCTATTTATTATTTTATTAAATAATTATAATTATTTATTTAATTTTTTAAATAATTATTAAAATAATATATTTATAATTACTTTTAATTTTATTTAATTTATTTAAATATATATAAATATATATTTTTATTAAAATTAAAATTATTTTATAATTTAATATTTAATATATTATATAAAACTTTTATAAATTTTTATTAATTTATATAATTTTTATAATATTATATAACTTTATATAATAATAATAAAGTTTTAATTTATAAATTATTAATATATTATTTTAAAGTTAATTATTATTAAATTTAAATAAATATAATATATTAAATAATATTAATATAAATAATTTATTAATTAATTATAAATATTTAAGTTAATATTTACTTATTTAACTTTAATATTTATTTATTTAATAATTTTATAAATTTATTTAATATTTATTTTTCTTAATAACTCCTTTATATTTATAAGTATTTTTAAATTAATATAAAAGATTTTATAAAATAATTTTCTTCGTTAATTTTAATACTTTAAATATAAACCTCTTTTAATATACCTTTTAATATACTTTTAATATACCTTTTAATATACCTTTTAATATACTTTTAATATATTTTAATATACTTTTAAGTTATATATATTTAAATATTAATTAAGTATTTAAATATTAGTTAAATATTAAAAAGTTAAAAGTTTAAAGTATTAAAAATTAAAAGAAGTATTAAAACTAGAAAAATATAACCTTTATATTTAAATATTTAGTTAATACTTAAATATATATAATTTAAAAGTATATTAAAAGGTATATTAAAAGGTATATTAAAAGGTATATTAAAAGGTATATTAGAAAGTATATTAAAATATATTAAAAGTATATAAAAAAGTTTATATTTAAAATATTAAAAGTTTAAAGAATTTTAATTAAGTATATAGTTTTATATAAGTTTTATATATAAAAGTTAGTATTAAATAAATTTATAAGAATTATTAAATAAATAAATATTAAAGTTAAGTAGATAAATATTAATTTTATTAATTTTTTATGTATTTAATTATTTTATTAATATTAATAAAACTTTAAAAATATTAATAATTAAAATTCTAAAAGTCTTTATTATTTTAATATTATATAATATTAATATAATATTAATATAATTAATATAATTAATATAATTAATATAATTAATATAATTAATATAATTAATATAATTAATATAATTAATATAATTAATATAATTAATATAATTAATATAATTAATATAATTAATATAATTAATATAATTAATATAATTAATATAATTAATATAATTAATATAATTAATATAATTAATATAATTAATATAATTAATATAATTAATATAATTAATATAATTAATATAATTAATATAATTAATATAATTAATATAATTAATATAATTAATATAATATATACATTATTTCTTTAATTAATTTTTAATTAATTATTATATTATATTATATTATATTATATTATAACGCTAGCCTAAACCGGCACGACCTAGCGCACTAGCGTAGGAAGGTATCTTCTAATAACAGACAGCGTTATAAACAATTATAAAGTCACTATAAAAAGTCCTATATAGCAAACTTAGCTAAGCTAATCTTTAAAAGATATATTATATCTCATCCCTTTAAAACCCTAACTATTCACTTCTAATTTAATAGTAGAACTAAAAAAATATAAATAGTCTATATTATATTATAAATTAATTTATAAATTAATTTATAAATTAATTTAAGTTTTATTTTAAATTTTATTTTAAATTTTATAAATATATTTAAATTTTTAAATTAAAATTAAAGTTTTTAATTTTATAAATTTTAATATATTTTAAATTAAACTTATAATTCTTTAAGTTTTTAAATATAAAATTTACTTTTATATAATTATAAATTTAACTATTAATAATTATTTCTTTTATAAAATTATTAAAATTAAAAACTTATATATATAAATTATTAATATTTTTTAATTTTATTATTAAATTAAAAATAAATAATTAAAGTTTTAAAGAAATAAAATATAATATATTTTTAAAGATTAATTTAATTAAGTTTATTATATAAAACTTTTATAATAACTTTATAATTTATATTTATAATACTATTTATTATTAGAAAATACCTTTTATATTAATATATTAAACTATATTTAATTTATTTAAATTAATATAATTAATATATATATTAGTTTATTAAAAGTTAAAGCTATTATAAACTATAAACTACCTAGTCTTAACATTATTAAGTATTATATATAAAGTTATTATATAATTTAAGTAAGTTAATTAAAATAAGTAAAGATAAAACTATTATTTCTTTAAAGGTTCTAGCTTTACTCTATAAATAAATATCTATTAAATAAAACTATTTAAAAGTAATTATTTAATTAAATTAAAAGATAATTAAATAAAGTAACTATACTTTATTATTTAAATTTATAATTCTAATAATTTATAAATAAAAGAAAAATAATTATTAATAATTAAATTTATAATTATATAAAAGTAAACCTTTACTTTAAAAAGAAGTTATTAATATTTAAAATAGTTAATATATTTTTAAAGAAATTAAAGAATTATAAATTTAATTTAAAGGAAATTAAAATTTATAAGAATTTTAATTTTAAATTTAAAGGTCTTTTTTTAAATTTAACTTTCTTAAAGGGAAAGATATTAAATAATTATTAACTTTATATTTAAGGTATAAATTAATAATTAGTTTAAAAGTTAAGAAGATAATAAATAAATAAATAGTTAAATAAAAAATATAATGTGGCCGAAGCCGGGAGATGCTCCTATTATTTGTTTTCTCCAAGTCGGGTGTTTTACATGCAGTGATCTCCGAAAGCCGAGCCAACACAGTGTTTCCCGTGCACTGTCGATCACGCACATCTATCTGTAATAATAAGTGAGCGGCAGCGATGGTCAGTCTTGCGGTACGAGCAGCGATCGTCGGGAATGGCCTTTTGAAATGAAAACTGGGCCGGAGCCCTCAAAGCGGAAATAAGTGGACGTAATCCATCATGGTCACGGCGTAGTTGAGCCAGGCAAAGCTAAATTGTGTCGTTCAGACTGTGAGCGTCAACAGCCAAGTCTACCACAAATGCACGGCCAAGCGAAATAGATGAGCTTCGTGTGCAGCCGTCAGGTCGCGCAAGTAATACCTGACTGAAGCCCCTGAAACGTTGTGCGGCTGTCCAATTCGGTGTGTCTTGAAAACTTGCCAGTTTTTTACTTTTTTTCTCTTGTTCGTTCCTTTTTACCACTCATTCCTGCTACGATCGACAGTGTCTCTAATAATGCTTAAGAATGTCTTTGCTTGCAGTTTCCAAACACCACTGTCGTGGGACAAGAGCAACATTGAAACAATGGGCCATGTTTGGGCCAGAAGGACGCCAAAATGTGGATCAAGACCGAGGATCAACCCGACCGCAGCCCCATTTGCAACTGCCTTCAAATTGGGATTCACAGTGCCAATCCGCCCCGGACCAGATGCACCTGATTCAGGGGCAGCGACAGGAGTGACGTCCCTTTTCAAGCATCATTGCTAAGCACTACAGGAGAGCATGTTCCCCTGACGTCCTCCATACATTCCACATTTATTGTCTATCTCCTTTGCAGTCCAAAGAATAAGTCTCGCTTCTCGCACCTCGGATCTCCCATCAACCTTGACCAATTCGCAAACCAGCTCTTTCTCTGTTGCCGACTGTCGTCACTCCTTCAATCGCTCCTCCCAACGCTGCAATCATGAAGGTACGAACAACTTGAAGTCCCTTGCCCGAGGTGCAATAAATATTTGTCCAGCCCATGCGGAAATACCCAATCCTACCAGACAGGGGAAAGACGAGCCCGCGAAAACTGACAAGACTATACCAGACCACCGCCTTCCTTACCTTCATCGGCGCGGCCAGCGCCCTCGCCGTTCGCGGCGTTCCTCTAGCCGGAGCAGCCTTCGAGGCCCCCAACACCCTCATCCAGTACCAGCGATGGTGCCCGGTTTGCGAGACCGTTGCCCTGAACCAGGCTTGCATTGCGAAGCGCGCAAGCTGTCAGGCCAGCACCCTCATGTACGTACAGGAAAACGTCCCGCTATTGAGCCCCACCCACCTTGTTGCTCCTCCCCTCCAGCATGACGGCAACATACTCTGCTATCAGTCCCCGCCGGCCAGGTTCCCCGGGATCACCCACACGAGATGGGCCACTTTTACTGAATTGGACAACAGCGTCCCTGATGATGCTCCCGAGTGCTCTGAGCGCTGTAGCAACACATGCCAGCGGTCTGCCGTTGCCGACAGCGACTACGGTTACGTCTGCAACATGACCATGCCCGCCGCTGGTGCCCAGTAAATGAAGACAGAAGAAGTCCCTAAATCGCCCTTGGAATCTTCAAAATTAATACCTGTGAAGTTAATCGTTGGCAAGCGAAGGTCACTCAAGGTCCGGTCAGGGCTGACAGTTGCAAATGGCCGCTTTGTGTTGCAGTCTTGAAATTATATTAAACCAGATCGAGTCCGTTGCAGGGCGGTCTGCTTAGAACATATTTAGATAATGTTTTGATACCAGGTCAACAAGGGCCGTTAGAAACCCGACCTTCCAAGGTTGAGATTATTACTGCGAAGCTGACGTGACATGTCTTGTCGATGTTTGAACCTGATGACGCTCCTGGTCGACGTTTCAGCTTGATACTTCCAATGCTCCGCCCGCTGCTGGCTGCGGCTCGAGACGACAAACTTGAAGTTCGTGCTCTTATCCTGGATTCTGCGATACTTGGGCGGTATCAATCTTTATCACTAATATTGCCAATCTTCGAGACTCGCTTAAGTGGCTCATAACTATGGAGGGGAAAGAAACGCCGCGCCGATTGGCACTCCCATATGCCGCCCACCCATTGTGACCTGACAGTGTTTGACCTCTATCTGCCCACACACTTTCAAACGGGACATACAACTACCTAGCTCAAGCCTTGTATAACACTCGGGCGGTAACACCCGTGTTTCCCGTGTCATGCTCAGAGTTGTAGGCATAGGATCGATCCCGCATACCTGCTCGGTCTCCTTGTTTAGACAAATGTATCTCAGTCTATTTGAAGCTAATTTTCTAAGAGTGACAATACAGAATGTAGGCCCAGGTCTAATAAAGATTGCGTTATTCAATGAGGTACATTTAATCATCATGGGCGTTCAGACCACCATGGGAACAAAGATTGTCTTGTGGGGACACAAAGACATGACCCTAATTTTTAGCCTTTTTTGACAGCTAATGAGATAATTCTCTGGCCTTTGTTTCCGGACCGCTATGCTATTCATTCCAATTCGGGAAATAGCTATTGGTGGGGGGGTGGGGGTGTCAATAAGTAGCTATTCCAATTACTGTACTCACCAATCCTGATGCCGGCTAGGGAAAAAGTATTTCTGAGTCTTGGATAGCATCGCTGATTATTGTGTACGATTTCATTCGGATGGGGACTGACTCTATGCACTTCATACACGTACCCTGGGGTCAACGTCTAGTGCTGAGCTGGTGCTTTATGCCGGCATGAACGTGAAATTCGCAGATGTGTTGACCAGACCAGCACAAGAACAGTAATTCATCGGTTACAAATTTTATACATGGCGGGAATCTTGAAAGTGTTCTGCCACTACCTATAGAGTCTGACTAAAAAAGGGCTCGTTCTTGATCCGCGTTATACAACACGAGAGTTTGACTAAGCCCCGTAAGGTCTGTGGTCACTTATCCGACTGGGCCCGCCTGTTCGGGTTAGAAACCGCCAGCAGTCTGCCACTGTCGCACTGAACCCACTTTCCTGATAGGGTCGATAAGGTTCAGCCGCCTCTCCTACAGAACATAACTGGCATGTCGATGGTGGAGCTTCCCACCACCGACTAATTGCGCCTTTCTTTGTCGTAGACATTCATGGTCAGAGTTCTCCCGGGCATGAAGCGTTGGGGAGGGGAATGTAGCAGAGGCGGCTCTTCTTTGACGGCCAGTGTCCAATGCATTGAGACTTTAGCTTACCTAGGTATAAACACTCGTCCCGGGTGCCCAGTGAGGATCAGTGGCCTGGATGTTAGAAGACTATAATTACATGATGTATGCTGGATCCAAAAAAGCGCGGAACCTCGGGAGTCCCATGTGACAGGCGCACGAAGGATGCCGACGACGTCTAAGTCAAGTAAGGCTCTGCAAGCCTAGCATTGAGTTGCATGTTCTGCATGCCGGTCTGGCAGCCATCCCATCTCGCTCATGCAACTTTTTCAGCACGCACGTACAGTACGTTCTAGCACGTCTGCAAGTTTGCTCTGTCAAACACGCTAATGATAAAAAGCTCACCCCGGACTCTGCCACCCTACCATGAACTCCCACAGTGCCATTCCCCAGTCACTCAGATCCCCAGTCTTTTTCGGGCAGAACCAAGGGAAACAAGTATTGAATCGACAACGCAGTTGTGTTTGTCGGCGAGCGAAAGACCCCATCCCAACGTTTTGGGATCGACGGTTCCCGGCGCAGGCGGCCAAGGTACCCTGAGATCCGAACGCGGAACGCGTGCCCCAACCACATGCAGCCAGTGGACGCGACAACAATGGCAGGGGGAGCTGTTTACCCCGTCTGCAGCTTAGACGGCCAACGAACAGAACACCCGACAAAATCGCTGACCTGCATGCCCCCATTCCCAGGTGCCGCAGGGCGGCAGTAACCCGCCATTGCTGGCATTCCACCCCTATTTCCAGCGTCCTGTCCCAACACCAGCTTGAGCAGATGGCTGCTGCACCTCGACTTAGTGAATCACGGAGCTCAAATCGTATCGACAGATAGGCGTGTGAGTGACGGAAATACAAGGCGCAAAATGGATCTCCAGGATCGTCCGGCCCTTGCAAAAATTTATTGAGGTTTCAGTGCGGCAGGTGCTGGCTCGAGTGGTGGTGTACTTCAGCCGCATCACTGCCGGCGCTGCACACGCCGCAGGCTTGGGCGCCCAAATACGCCCGACAGATGAGCAAGCCGTTCTTCCCAGGTTGACAAGACCCAACGACAATATCATCCCATGTTATCAGAGTATAGGTCTAATACTGCTAGGGGTGCCGCTGCGCAGCGGCCTAGCAACTCGCCAAACTTGAGTTAAAAAAAGGCCAAAAAAATTGGTAGCTTCTCTTTGATTGAGCGTGTCATCCTTAGTGCAGGGGCCATGCTAATCTGTTGGCAAGGGTCAGTACGTGGCTCATATTTACTGGTGTCAGTGGGGTTCGAACCTTCTCTGTCTGCAAAGGTTGTCAGTCACGTTACTAGAATTGGGTGTGGGGGAGCATGGGGGGTAATTTCAGACTTACATCGTTTCAAATTGACCAAATGCCCGAAGGCAAATAGAGGGGAAAGTTCTAAAATTATATACCTCAAACGTGTTCTGTCTAGTAGTTATTGCCCGTTCCGCGCGACATTCTTAACCAAACACAATACGGGTTGGCTGACTATCCAGCTCAATCGGGCTTTCAGCAATAAAATCACAACTGCTGAGCTAGACTTTAGTGTTTGATAAGTCTGCTAAACGGATGCGATTTTCCCAGTCCATTTCCTTTTGACCGCATGAAACCTGCCCAGGTGCCTGGGAGCAGGACAAGTCAAGGACGGCATCTGGGGACCGCCATCATACGACGGTGCCAGCAAGCACGCGGCCCATGAGACAACTACATTCCAATTTCAAACAATCAGTTGTGTGTGCACAGCCAATATCGACATCCCATGCGAAGAATATCAGCTGTTCACGCCACACCAAGAGTTTTGCCAGAGCTTTCTGGATGTTGGCAGGCCCGGGCGAAGCTCAACGCGCCGTCTGGTGCAGAATAGGACAACCACCACGAGTTCCTGCAGCATCATCTCCGCCAACACCAGGCTCAAGTGGAACGAAGACACACCCGCGACACCATAATAAACCATGTGAACTCTTGCATTGCGCACACTCGTCTTCAAGGTTGAGACACCGCTGCCATTCCGTTCTGTGCCTGGGATTTAGCTGACCTTGCTAACCAAGGCATGGCAGGGCATGTTCACCCAGGCCGCCGGCTGGTACCTCAGCTTCCAGCAGAACGCAAAGGAAAAGACTGTAGGACATCCTCTGCATAGCAGGCCAAGCGTCTAGAAAAGGTGATTTTACGATCTCTTACGATAGTCCGTCCAGTACACATTTGGAAGATTGTACTCTTAGCTTAACCTGGGTTCAATGCTTGGTTCCTGGCAGCCAGCAGCTTCCGTGCCCAGAAAACTATCTAGGTACTCCGAGTCTTTAGTGCTGGAAATGTCCTACCGGCGCATTGACCCCGAGCATCAGCAATATGTGTGAAGTGCTCAATTATAAATACTAACGAGCTACCAAGTTTTTTTCTTCTTTGGAAGAGCTGGGCTTCCTCCTGGGGACTGGTCACGCCCCTTCACGACCCCAACTGCCGGTCTGCCGACCAGTTATCGCTCTGCCTGTTGGGACTGGTCATATATAGATACCGGTTAGCATCCTTCAACATTTTGACCAGTATCGGGTTCGTGACTGGTCTCAAAGATGAACGTAGCTGTTCTATTACTGGTCATATCCCTCGCAAAGGCCTTTCTTAATGCCAGTCACCACATAGTGCGACCACCCGGGAGGACTCGGCATGCCAGTATCACATCGCGTCATATAGCTTCCAAACGTTATAACTGCCTCAGGCATTGGTTTGATGGCAATTAAATATTTTCCCCTTTGAAATCACGCCACCTTTGAGTATAACCCTAACGCTGTAAGGCGAGATAGTCCCAGCAAGCATAAAGGCGACAGCCCACCATCTAGATTGCGGCGCTGCTCCCTCAAGCCATGGGCTATGGTACATACGGCTGCCTAATCACTGTTCGGCAGTTGTGAAAGGTACCGCTTCGCTCCCCGGCCAGGTAGTAGTACCGCTGAGGACCTACGAGGCTGCCAGTGAGGCGCGGCAGACAGAGCCAATCACAAAAGCGGAAGGGCGGACCGCATCACAGGCATTACAGAGACACACGTGGGAAAGTTATAAAGGTCAGCTGACGGCCAGTCTCTTTGTTTCCGAGGCGGCTTGATCGCATGTTCCTCGGCACTATCCCGACGAAAAATAACAGTCAGTGCTGTAGTGCACTTTGTGTTTTAAAGTGAAATCTTGCCGCACGTCTCTATTCAAAACGTAGCGTGCTGCCTAGTTGCACGGCGGACAAGCACGGTCTTGAACTCGTCGCATAACCGCGGGATGTTATCTCTGCCTAGCGCATCGCTAGGAAGAGGGCAGACCTCTTTTGACACATGCTTTGTCTGCGCGCGCACGAGTCAACGTGCTGTTTGTTCTTGAGTGAGACAC